CATTCAGATATACAAACACAGACATAATTTCAACCGTGATGATGGGTACAAACTTAGTAATCATTAGAAAGATGTTATCAACCATGCAAAAAAGATTTAACTACACATTTTTGGACCATCTTATCTGACAGGCACTATTTTACTTTACCGAGTGTTAACATCCCTAGCGTTTAACAGTACTCTCTTTATTGTCAGCCAACACTGGTATAAACATGGGCATTTTCGTTCCTTTTCTATCATGTACATCCATAGTGACTTGCACACAAACACATCCATGCCCACGCTCACGAGTACCGCCGTGCCCTCTTTTAGCCCCGCCCCCCCCTCCCGATACGTTCCATTCATTGGCTACCACATTCTTATAAGCTCCTCCCCCTCTCCTCCCCCCTTAACTGGTATTTAAGAGCTTGCATCTTGAATCCCTCCCTCACTTGATGCAGCAAATCTGGCTGTGACAGTCCCACCTGATGACGGAGACTTGTGTTGCCTCCGAAACGTCGTGATTTTATTGTTTTATCTTTATTAATTTTAATTTCATTTTTTACCTACGTGACGTGGCAGTCACGAAAGCTTCAAATCCAGGGAGGTTCAGTTTACACTGTGCCGCTCCCGTAGCACATGCACATGGGTCTTTGCATGGCAATCTTGACAAGGCGTCCGCATTACAATGACGAGTGCCCATCCTACATCACATCGTAAGAGTACTGCGGGAGTTCTTCGATCCACCTCGCCATTTGTCCCGAGGATTTATCCATTTTAAGTGAGAATTGTATAGTGCCGCATGATCGGTCCGCACGGTAAACCAGTGGCCGTATAGGTAGGGCCGAAAAATGTGATAAAATGACCTACTGCCAGGAGTTCCCTACGAGTGACGCAATAGCATTGTTCAGTAGAGGAAAGCACGTGTCTCCTGTATGCAATTACAACTTCCGTTTCCCCTGTATTTGTGACATGACCGCACCTATACCGACATCTCGAGCATCTGTATCAAGGATAAACTGTCGCGAGACATCTGGATATGCTAGTGGTGAAGCATCAGTTAACCTTGAACGAAGCGCTTTAAATGCTGAGTCCTCTTCCTCCACCCTTTTGTTGTGAGGGCGTGCAATGGTTTTGCTATTGCAGCGAACCGGGGTACAAATCGTCGATAGGAAACAAATCCTAGGAATCACCGCACCTCCTGTACAGAAGTGGGCGTTGGCCAGTTTTTAATGGCGGACGTTTAGTCAGGGTCAGTTGCTACCCCCTTATTGCTGACCACATGCCCACATATTTAGCTGAGCCCTGTACAAAATGACACTTAGATGGTTTCAATTTCAATTTGGCAGCTCGCACTTTCAAGAAAACTCGTTGCAGTCTCTTCAGATGTTCATAAAATCTACTAAAAACAATGACGTCAAAATAAATCAAACAAATTTCCCATTGTAGGCCCGACAGTACAAGTTCCATGAGGCGTTGGAAGGTTGCCGGTGCAGTGAGCAATCCCATAGGGAGCCTATTAAATTGAAACAACCCCTGTGGTGTTCGAAAAGCAGTTTTTAATTTGGATTCGTCGTCCAGGAGAACTTGTCAAAACCCTGCTCCTTCTAATGCATCTAGCGAATCATCAATGCGGGGCAGGGGATACGCGTCCGCGATCGTAACCTTGTTAATTCGGAAGTCTACACAAAACCTCATGGAACCATCTGGCTTTTTAACTAGGACTACTGGTGCTCCCCAGGGGCTGGTTGATGAAGAAATAATTTCCACCCTCAACATCTCATCTGTAGCTCTACGGATCTGCTCTTTTTCTGCTGGTCTCACTCTATATGAATTCTAACGGGTTGAACATTCCCCGTTTCAATATGGGCCCTTACTGAAAACGTCTTCAAATTCTATGAGACGTTTAAGGCGGTCTCTTTGACATTGAGTCAATTCAGGGTTCCGTTAACGATTTCTTCCGCTCAGGGAGACCCTATCCCATCCTTCTCTTCCTGTATCCCCGCTACTACTGCATCTTCATAAATCTCACTCGCTGGGGAAATCTATGCAATTACCGTCCCTTCTCGCTATATTATTTCGCACTCTGACGTATTTAAAACTTGCATACATAGCTGCTGATTCCATCTTAAAATGGTGTCCGCTGCCGCTAAAAAATATCGACTGATTGTTGGTCCCAATTGTGTAACTATAATTGCTGCGGCCACATTTAAGGTGATTAATGGCGATCGATATTGCTACGGAATGAACACCTGTGTTAGCGGCGGAATCGCCGTTGACTCTCCCACCAGGGCGTGTTCTTTGGCAGCTTTTCCTGTCTCCGCGTCAGGCCGCTAAAAATATATTATTTTCCCTAATGGGTAGCTGACTTAAATTATAATCGGTACCCAGTAGACATGGTACTGCTAGGGAAGAGGAGACCAAAACACAATTCCTAGACTATCGCCATTTGCCGGCACAACTTTATTGTCGACCGGTTCAAGTTGACGTTTTTCCACGGGTAACATATCAAACACAAGCGCAGAAATGATGGTTACTGAAGCTCCCGTGTCCACCAACACCCTCACGGGATGTCCCTCTATCGCTCCCGCCAAAACCGATGTTCCCGTGGCTGCTGCCACGAACCATCTCACTAACTTTTCCCACTTAGCCCTAGATGTTGGCCCAATTTTCATGTTGTGTCACTCCGGGTCGCCACAATCGAGTCGTGTGCTGGTGAAGATGGTGATGAGCGTTTTGTAAATGAGTTATATGTGTGATCTGGCCGGTTGTACGGCCATCGCGACGGGCCTGGATCTGCCTTGGGAAGTCCCGCGAGGTCTGGAGCTGGCTTGGTTGTCTCGAGGCAACTTCCCCTCAGCATCCTCTCCCAATGTGGCCCGGCCTCCCGCAGCAGTAGCAGTAGATGATCATGAGGTCACAGATTTCTCTGCAGTTCTGGCCCGGTCGCTGCTGCTGTAGTCGACGCCTTGGATTGGTGAACCCCCGGATGGCCGCTGCCATCTCTTCCAAGGTTGCCTGCACATCATCCTCCGTGCTGGGCTTTGCGGCGGTCCCCGTTGTTGCTGTCCACATTGGTTCTGTTGGTCCTCCTGCTCCTCTGTTCTCCATCAACCTTGTCACCTGCACCACTACTTCACATGGCACCCTGGTTTCTTCATGTACCCGGAGGCATTTAGTGGACCACATTGAAGTTTGTTCGCTCTCTTGCACAATCGGAAATGTAATTCCGCTTTGATGGAGGAGAGTTCGCAGCTGTGCTTAGCAAGGTGCTGCTATAAGCCATCGGCGGCTCGCTGTCTCCCCTTCTCCGGGCTGAAGATCGCTCCCTTGGGCTGGACGGAGGACAAAAAATCTTGGCAATTCCCTCACAAGCTTGTTGGAGTGCGACGTGTTGATTTTCCGGGATCATAAAGAAGGCCGTTAGCGCTCCCTCATCCAACACCGTAGGCAGCACTAGTAGTGCTTCTTCATCACTCCATGGGCTGACTCTGACAGCTGCTTCAAATCTTTTAATGAACGCTGTCCAATCGCCTCCCGTTGCTGTAAATTATTTTTAAGGGCCCCAGCCTTCTTGTCTTCTTCAAAGTTGGTGGAGGTCCATAGCACAGATTCCAGTTGTGGTTTAGCCGATTGATCAGTTCCCGTCTGCTGCTCGACAAGGGGAAGCGGCGGCTGCTGCCCTTTGGCAATTTCTCCTCGCCACACGGTCAATGGTGGCGGCGGCTCTGGCTCAAGCTTTGCAGCACATATTCACTCCTCTTCTCTTTCATTCATCATCGCCGTCACCAGTCGATCCACCACTGAGGTAAGGTGGTCCAGTCCGATAGCTGCCGCCAATTCTCTTTGTCCAGCGATGCTGGTTCGTGGGTCTTTGGCGGGGCCTCCACCTCCGTGGGAAACTTGGCTGCCAACGAGGTCCGGTTCTAGCTCGCCATTTTCCGGGTCTCGAAACCCGTGACGTCATCACATCTATCCTTCTATTTAAGGAACAAAACAAGGGGTAATCTGCACAAATCTGGCTGTCGCCTGATGAAGCCATTTGTAATTACTGGCGAAACGTCGTCCTCAGATTGCAAATGTTGTGGATTTGCTCTCCAATACACCGGTGGGCTGTACGAGTAAAGACTTGGCATGTTCTGTTTCCGTGACAAACCTTACTAATTGGCTGTCGGGTGGTGGCGGGTTTAACGACACATTTATATTCACGCGATCTAACCCAAAAAAACGATATTATGTGTGTTTTGTGTTTGCCCGCAGGACTGTTTTGCCCATCAGACCATTCCTCTGCCAAGCGGGCACCTCTCTGAAGCCTTCTGGAATGTTTAAGAGCACCCTGGGGTGATCATACACACACGTACATTATGTAACATTATGTAACTACCTTATTTGTAAATTCAATACAAATCCTTAATTGGTACAATTGGTCATGGTTTTCAAATATCTACAATTATTGGTGTTCCTGGTGTGGAAACAGAAAAACTAACTCCAAAACATGCACAAATAAACACGACGAAGATGAATGGCAAAACAAAAACTCACCGGGCATGGCACGAACCAGGCCTTTACATGGGAACAGACAGGAGAAATAACCACGATGCATTCATTGTTTCTTAGTGAAGGCTACAACTTTCTGGGAGGCCCAACCAAGACACATTGTGAGTTGGTATCGCTCCTCTCTCCATCTGCCCCTCTTACTTTTACAAAGCCATGCCTATACTACCAGCTGTTCTTATACCCTGCCCACTGATCATAGGCCCCGCTCACCCATATAGCAGCAACACCGGAGGATGCAGAGAAAAATGCAGGTGACCACCAAGTAGAGAGAACACGCAAGCTCTAAATATACAACAGGCATCGCCAGTGTACATGGTTGAACCCACGCGATCCTGCATGCCAAGCGAGCAGGATAAAATCGCCTCGCCACCGTGATGCCACGAGTTTGAGTTACGGTGTACCGAACCTCACAAGATGCCCAGACTTCGCACCAGAGTTCCAAGAACACAGCGGCAGTCACGTCACACGTTTCTCCATCATCACTTTTATTTCAGATTCTAAATATGCAAAACGATTCCACGCTTAAGATGATACGTACTTTGCGTTGGGATGATACACAATATTTGCAAAGGAGTTTGCACGTTTAATTGCCAACAACAACCACCTATAATCACCCAAGACTTTAACAATTAACCTCTCGGTCGACTCGAGTCCCAATCCCCCATCTGGGATTGTGCCGTCACCATTGTGGAACCTCACCCCGATCTGGAAGAACGCCGGCGAAGAGAGTGGAACGACGCGGACGTCCAGAAATACCTCGTTCAAGACCAAAAAATCGCATGCCTGGCTTTGACATTCCTCAAATACCGCTGTAAACATCAACCACGTCAGAACATCAACAGGCTAATGCGCACATCTCCTTCATGAATGTAGCATTAAAGACACAACCCACAGGATTACAGCTGTGGCCATGCATTCTAAACTATGGACTGTAACGTAAACCACTGTCGTCTGCTCCTTCAACGGAAGAGGAGGTGGTACAGCAAAACTACACAAACTCGCTCTGCTGAGGCCCTCTCGTCATGGATGTCAGCAGACCTCGACATTGGCATTTAACTCCTGAACACATTGCCATCGTACACACGCATAGGTCAGAATATCGTCATATTGTTGCCTGTTGATTTTATCATTTCCTCACAAAACATTTGGAAAACGGCAATGATTAAAATTTACAATATTCAAGTTCTAATATAGTTATTACTCTTGAGCACCTTGCTTCATTCAGACTCGACGATTTCATCTAATCCCGCTCATTCACAAACGCTCATCTGTGGTTTAGCACCAGTTGTCACCATCCGCTCACGGTCATCGTCGACTAAAATATAAAAAAGAAAACACTGAGACGAATTTAGTTTTCGCCAATGTCTTCGATGCAGTTAATACTGGGCGGGTGTTGCGCATCCCCACTCACGGCGAGCGCCATTCACAACATTTCACAAACACCGCGTGAATAACTTAACCATTCACAGCCCCCTTGTCAATCCACTGCTGGATGAAAGCCTCCTCCCATTGCCGTGCTTTGCCATTTCGGTTTGTCTCACCGTGATGCCACCGCACTGGTGAAGCCCCATGGGCTTGCAATCCAGCAGAGGTCCTCTCCCGTTCGATGCGATCTCCAGATGTGGTGGTCTAAACGGTGGCAACGTTTCCTGAAATCACACCCTCCCCTCCACCCCTAACACTCCTCACCTCTGTCCATTCAGCCAGTCATGTGTGGTGGGGTAAAATGTGGGTACTCCTATTTCTTCCAGGACGTCTGGGCAGCATTAGAAGAGTAGGCCAAACACATTTTAGAGTGACTCTCTGGAGTTCTTCTAGTAGACGCTTTTCTGCCGGCAGTGGCATCACAGAGAAATTGTGGGGCTGCGCCTTTGCCTTTATCTAGTAAAAAAAAAATCTTCGTCCAAATGTCCGGGCAACTGGCCATCAGATGTCCGTCGTGACATCTCCTTGTCCCGCGTTGGTCACGCTGGACGCGAGCGAGCGTGGTGGCGCAGGGCCACCCCACACCCCTTCCCGCTCCTCGTCCGCGCCCAGCAGGTCCACGCGCTGCCTCGCGTCGTCCAGCTCCGAGAGCGTCGCCTCCAGGGCCTCCAGGGCCCTCGAGGCTTCCAGGTCCTCCCGGGGGTCCCAGGTCCCTCCCCGCTGAGTCCCCAACCCCTGGCCCCTGGGCGCCCCCCGCAGGAGCCTCGCGCACAGAGCGTCCAGGTCGCGCGGGAGCGAGAAGCAGGGCTGCGACCTCAGCGCGGGGGGCACGTCCCAGGGGCCCCCCGCGCCGCGTAGAAACGCCACCAGGACGCGTGGCCCCCCACCATAGTGGGGGGCACCCAGCAATAGCTCCAGGGTGGCGTCCATCACTGACATAAGGTGTGGGAGGTGAGGGGTGAATGGGGCAGAGGGGACAGGTAAGTGCGCACTTTGGGTCCCGTGTTTAACGTTTAGTTTGTTTGGATTTGTTACCCGGGTGGTTCCGTTTATCCGTGGTGCTGCGTGAATAGAACGAGCAGCGGCAGCAACATGAACATAGCAACATCGATGTTGCAGAAAGCGAGTGCAGAAGGGTCCTTGATGGATATTGCACAACTAGTAAATGAGGTGTTTAACGGTCGTAAACTGAAGTAAAACTAAACTATTTTTTATTTTACCAGGTAAGGCCCACTGAGCTATATAGCTCGTTTTCAGAAGCGAATGATAGCTCAACGAAGTGGCTTATCACATGGAAATATATAGAAGTCCACAACACATGTTTATAAATCTTGAGGGAAAAAGAAGACCCAAAGAGAAATCCACGCGACCATCAGGAGAACATGCAAAGTCCCAATATAGAGGCGTCAGGGCCGGGATCGAACCCATGACCTGTACATCAGGCGAGGTAGTTAACATCTCGCCACTGTGGCTCCCCATAAAGCGCACACCAGAACAATATGAGAGCAAGAGAAGCCAGACAAGTTACATGTGCAAGCAAGCTCTATATATCAGTGCAACTGTGATATAAAAACACGTAATTGCAGTGTTCACAGGGAGTCGTCCACAGGGGGTCATTTTCTGGGACGGGGTTGTAAGGTGGGACAAGCTTGAATGGGACTAAGGGATTTAATGGGACTAGGGGAGTTAATAGGACTAAGGGAGGCCAAGGTGCACTATCTCTAGGAAAATGTATGGCCCAGAGGGATAGATTGTGGGGGGGTCCCATACACTGGGGTATGATTTTGGGTCCCATTCGCAGGGGTATAATTAGGGGTCCTGTATGCTGGGGTACATGGTGTGGTCAAATAAATGTAACCGGGGGGGTGGGGGGGTGGTTTACGTTGGGGTATAATTGGGGCTCACGTATGCTGGGGTGATAATTTGGTATGAGGAGAGGGTTGGTCGATTGTAAGAACCGAAGAGCCGGAATGAATTTACAGCATAACTGAAGTGGGGGGCAGGAGCGGAGAGGCTTAAGTAACTTTGTGTGTGTGTAGTGTGTTGGTGTTGGTGGTGGGGAGGTTCCCATCTCACCGTCCCCTCTGGGCTCAGCCCCCGCACCCCGACCTCGCGTGCCCGGCGAGCAGATCACCAGCACGGTGGCGCGCATCTCCTCCTCGCTCCTCCTTCTCCTCCTCCACGACCACCACCACGGAGAGGAAGCAGATGACGACGATGACACCGACGGAGATAAGGGGGATGAGGATGCTATGGATAATGCAAATGGGAATGCTGTTGATGGGGATGATGGTGAGGACGTTGAGGAGGAGGGGGTAGTGGAGGAGACAACGGAGGTCAAGGAGGTGGCAACCCAGCGAGCTGGGCCCAGCTGGGCGAGGCGCACGCTCTCCCACGCGTCAAGCACCACGCGCAGCGCGTGGCCGCAGCGAGCGCGCAGCAGCCACGCCAGCTGCAGCACGGCCTGGTGAAGTATGGCCTGGTCGTGCGAGTGGACGATGAGGAGAGGCGGCCAGGGTAGTGGTGGCGGCGACGACAGTGGAGGTGACGGTGACAGTGGTAACGACGATGGCGGCGATGGCGTCGCGGTCGAAGAGCGGAGGAGCGGCGATTCCGTCATCGGTAATCCACCTGGCAGGGGATCAGACAATCAGTAATTGGTAGGGAAATCAATCACTCAAATCACTCAAATAATCGGATATCGCAGCTCAAGTGGTAAGTGGTGCAGGGTGTCGTGGTGGTGAGCGGTGTAGGGGGTAGTCGTGATGGTGAGCGGTGCAGGGTGTGTTAGTGGTGAGTGTTGCAGGGTGTGGTGGTGATGGTGCGTGGTGCATGGTGTGGTGGCGGTGAGCGGTACAGGGTGTGGTGGTCGTGGTGGTGAGTTGTGGCAAGTGATGGTGGTGAGTTGTTGGGAGTAGTGGTGAGTATGCCACCGCTCACCTTCACGTGCGTAGGACGTCTCTCTGTGCCGCGTTCCACGTGCAAACCGCACAGCGAGCAGCACCGCCCCGACGAGCGGGAGGAGGAGGAAGAGGAGCAGGAGGAACTGGAGGGATCCTAGAAGGGGCGTGGGGGGCGATGGGAGAGAGGCAAGAGGAGCGGCTTAGGAGCACAAACATTATGGACTCGACTCCCCAGCAACTTGGGATACATTTCTGAAAAGCTGCTAGGCTGGCTTGCAAGTAGGGACTATTGGCATAAGGCACTACCACTAGAGCACAAGGTATGCCTGATCCACAATAATCCTATATTATTGTGCGGGTGGGGGGGGTGGCACGTGCCCCCCCAATGATCCGATCGAAATCCCTCATTTCGATCGGATCATTGCGGTTTATTAGTAATAAATCAGCACTGCCACTGTGAACCATGTTATCACGTGTCAGGGACTCTATGAGATGATAGGACAATAGTCTGAGTCCATAATTGGCAATAAGTAACGGCAAACCAGTTATAAGTGACTCACAAAATTGTGTGCAGTAGCGTATACAGTCCACGACTTCCCTGAAGGCAAACACCTGCAGCGAGCGTGATGCCGATCACACACGGTTCGAATTAAACCCACGCGTCGAATAAAAAGCAAGGGACAAGTCCTTACTAACAACTCCAATCATTTTTCATTGCTGGAGGGGTTGCCTCCCTCCCTACCTGAAAATCCTGGCTCTGCCATTGCCCCCACCCACTAATCCGTTCAACCACCGACTCATGTGAGCGTGGAGCCGCCCTGCAGCTGCGGGTGGCTGTCGGGACCAGACGGGGGCGCTGCACGCGCGCGTGGCCGTGGAACGGGGCGGCTGCGCCAGAGGTCACAAACAAGTTTTGATTCCTTACCCGTACCCGGCCGCACCAGGGTCGCAAACGGGTACCCGTACCCGGCCGTACCCGTACCCTACCCGTACCCGGCCGTACCCTACCCGTGCCCGGCCGGGTACGGGTATCGGGTACCTGATTGCGACCTCTGGGATGAAGCCATGTTGCAGGCGCGGGTGGGTTGATTCTAGGAACTTGAATTGTGAGAAGAGACAAGACGTTGGGAAATGAGTGACAAACGGTGACTCACCAGTGACTCACGGTCTACCCGTACCCGGCCGCACCAGGGTCGCAAACGGGTACCCGTACCTGTACCCGGCCGGGTACGGGTAGCCGGGTATCGGGTAGGGTACGGGTATCGGGTACCCGGTTGCGACCTCTGGGCTGCGCGCGTGAGGGGCTCGAGTTGGTTTGGGTTAGGTCGAAAGCAGCGGTGGGGAACCTTGTTGCTGCCAAGGGACATTTGGATATTTATAAAATCATTCGCGGGCCATACTAAATTATCACCTTAAAAATTAGCCCGTTATATTTGGTCAAACATTTAATTAAATCGCCCCCTAATGTGATGGCTGGAACTGCTTCTCTTTGGCGAGGCGTGTGATGTTAGCTGGTATTGATGATGTTGCTACTCGCAACTGCTTTTCCAGGTTTGCTCCTAGATTTATTGAATTTCGAGTCCCGCCTGCGGTTGCCTTGACAGGGACACACCAAAGGATTTCTCGGGGCCTTATACGGCCCGCGGGCCGGACGTTCCCCACCCCTGGTCTAAAGACTCGCATCTGGCGGGCAAGTTGGTTTTGAGCCAGGGGTACAGCTCGTGCTAGTCTCTGGATGACGAGGTTTTTGGCTTGGGGTAGAACCAGTGCTAAGTTTGCTCTTCCCGCCACACCACTTGCCCCTTCCCGGCCATATTTGTGATGCAGGTTTTGTCCTCTGTTCCGTGAAGGTGTTCATTGCGAGTCTGTGGCACGGCGTGCGGTGAGGTTGCCGCTGCGCACTCCGGCACCTGCAGGCGTGGAGATGCAGTCCGTGTGGCTCAGCACCCGGTACTCGCTGGTGCTCCACACCTAAGCCACACACACACGAGCGGTCACCGATGGGCCATGATGGGCCGTGATGGCTCGTGAAAACCCACGATGGATAGAGATGGGTCGTACTAGTTCAGGGGTCGGCAACAAAATAGTTCGAGAGCTGCATTTCACGCAGAAAGAGCCACTTGTACACTTAACACAACAGCAGCAGGTACACAGCAGATGACGCCACACATTCTGACTTAAATAAACAAAATAGGTGATCGAATCAACTGCGTCTATTTAGGTGTTTTTTCCCCTGTGTTATACTTTACCAATGCGGCATGTCTGTTGTACATTTTGTTGTCACCAAGACGCTGATATTGCATCTGCAGTGCTAATACTCACGCGATCCGGGGGAGAAATAACCACGTGATCCCAGGTTACTGTTTAGATGACGTCACCAAGGAAAAGAAAGAGAAGGCGGGGCGTGAGGGAGAAGGCGGGGCGTGATAGAGGGAACGCCCAGGAGGAGAACAATGACGTCACCAGATGAGGCGGGGCGCTTCCTGGTGGGATCTGGAGTGGAGCGGGGTCCGATTTACGACGGGGTCTCCAGGAATGCATTTCAACGTCATAAAAGCGAGGGGAGACCGCCTGTGCCACGTTTTCGAGCGTAAAGAACTGAATTATCTCAATTCAGTTTTTAAAAAATGGCTGCCCGCAATGTGGCAGCCACAGAGCTGCAAGGGGTCAGTCAAAGAGCCACCGCATGCGGCTCCGGAGCCGCAGGCTGCCGGCCCCTGTACTAGTTCATGATGGTGTGTGATGGGTCACAATGGTTTGAGATTGGCCCTAATAGTCAATTGATGGCTATGGATATTGATGGTGATCTGTGATTATTGATGATGGCCCTTGCTCGCTCATGATAGCCTACGAGATTCCACAATGGCTCATGTTTCTGCACGCACAAAGATCCCCCATATAGCCTAACAGACTGTTGAGGCAAGTGCTGTTAGCTAGCATCTCGGTGTTGATTTCGAACCCTGCACCAGGAACTAATTTAAGGCCGAGTCGCCTTAGGGGAGGCCCATGACCAGTTCAAATAATCGGCAACGTTACTGGTTGTGAGTGGGAATCAAACTCGGGTGGCCAGGTTAGCAGAGAAGTACACTTAACCACTACACTACCACCGCCCACTTCTCTATGCACAAAGACAAAGATCCCCCATATAGCCTTAACAAACTGTTAGGGCAAGTGCTGTTAGCGAGCACCTATGAAGGCCGGCACGGCACACGAGGGAGTAGATGGCCAACACCACGTTCAGCCGCCTCGGTCTCTTCAGTGGTGATGTTGGGGCTAATTCGACCTTCATAGGGCACCGCGCTAACCACTATACTACCGCTCCCCACTTATCCACGCACACGCAAATTAATGCGCGTGCAGGTGTGTTACCTGCACGCACACGGCCCCGTGGTGCAGAGCGTCGATCATGGGCTGCGTCAGCTCAAAGGTCACGGGGAAACTCTGGCAGACAGGGTGACACTGGGTCATACAGGGTAATTGAGTGTGTGAGTGAGCGGGTGAGTGAGTTCGTGAATGAGCAAGTAAGTAAATGAGTGAGTGAGGAAGTGGGTAGGTAGGTCAATGAGTGAGTGAATGAATGATCAATTAATTTAGTGAGTGTAAGTGAATGTAAAAGATGAGCGAGCATATGAGCCAGTGTATAACTGAGTGAGTGTAAGAGTGAGCGGGTGTATCAGTGAGCGAGTGTGTGAGTGAGTGTATGAGTGTGTTTATCAGTGAGCGAGTGTGTGAGTGAGTGTATGAGTGGGTGTGTGAGTGAGTGTGTGAGTGAGTGAGTGTAAGAGTGAGCGAGTGTATCAGTGAGCGAGTGTGTGAGTGAGTGTGTGTATGAGTTACGGGGAGCGATAGTGTAGCGGTTAGCGCGCTGCGCTATGAACCCGGCGACCCGAGTTCGATTCCCGCTCACGGCCAACACCAGTGACGATTATCTGAACCCGTCCCGGGCCTCCCCTAGGTCGACTCAGCCTCAAATGAGTACCTGGTGTGGTGTGTAAACATAGCCACTAGGGAGACAAAGGCGGTCGGGCGTGGTGCTGGCCACCCACCCCCTCGTGTACCGTTCTGGCCTTCATAGGTGCTCGCTAACAGCACTTGCCCCTACAGTCTATTAAGGCTATACGGGGGATCTTTATCTTTGTATGAGTGAGTGAGTGTAAGAGTGAACGAGTGTGTGAGTGAGTGAGCCAGTGTACGAGTGAGTCGGTGTACAAGTGAGCGAGGCTATGAGTGAGTGAGTGTGTAAACGAGTGAGTGTGTAAACGAGTGTACACGTGAATGTATAAGTGAGTGAGTGCACGAGTGAGCGGGTGTATGAGTGAGTGAGTGTGTAAACGAGTGAGTGTACACGTGAATGTATAAGTGAGTGAGTGCACGAGTGAGCGGGTGTATGAGTGAGCAGCTGTACAATTGAGCCGCTGTACGAGCGAGCCGGAGTATGAGTGAGTGAGTGTATGAGTGAGTGAGTGTACGAATGAGCGGGTGTACGAACCAGCCTGTGTATGAGTGAGTCACTGAACAAGTGAGCCGCTATAAGAGTGAGCCGCTGTACGAGTGAGTCGGTGTACAAGTGAGCGAGGCTATGAGTGAGTGAGTGTAGAAGTCAGGGTGTAAACGAATGAGTGTGTAAACGAGTGTACGCGTGAATGTATAAGTGAGTGAGTGCATTAGCGAGCCGGAGTATGAGTGAGTGAGTGTATGAGTAAGTGAGTTAGTGTATGAGCCAGCCTGTGTACGAGTGAGCCACTGAACAAGTGAGCCGCTGTAAGAGTGAGCCGCTGTACGAGTGAGTCGGTGCGTGCACCTCGACGCTGAGCTCCAGTGTGTCGGCGAGCGCCGTGCGCGCGTTGCCCTCCTCCTGCGTGCCGCGCGCGTAGAGCGACGCGAGCACGAGCAGCGCGCAGCCGCCCGGCTCCACGGCCACGCGCGCGTGCAGCGCGCCCCCCTCTGGCCCCGACAGCCACACCCGCAGCTGCAGGGCGGCTGAGCGAGGGTCAGCAGGGAGACGACACTCGCTCAGACAAGTGGGCGGGTGAACGGATTAGTGGGTGAGTAAATGGATTAGTGGGTGGTTGAACGGATTAGTTCATGGGTGAATGGATTAGTGGGTGAATGGATTCGTATATGCGTGAACCGAGTAGTGGGTTGTTGAATGGATTAGTTCATGGGTGAATGGATCAGTGGGTGGGTGAATGGATCAGTGGGTAAATTAATGGATTCGTGGATGGTTGAATGCATTAGTGGTTGGGTCAATGGACTAGTTGATGGTTGAATGGATGATTGGGTGGATGGATGAGTGGGTGGCTGGGTGAATGGATGGGCGGGTGGGTGAATGAGTGTAGTGAATGGATGGATTAGTGATTGAGTGGATGATCGATTTAATGTTCCACAGGTGAGAGGGTGTCTGGGAGGACAAAGTTGTTAGTGGGTAAGTGAGGTGGGTAAGTGAGGTGGGTTCGTGAGTGAACGGGAGTGTGAGTGCATGGGTGGGGGTGTGACAAGGTGGATGGGTCAGGGGGTGATCGATTGTATGGTCAGTAGGTTATTGAGTGGGTGAGTGGCTGAGTTACTAAGTGTTCAGGTAAGTGAATGCATGGGTGAGTGAGTAGTTGAGTGTATGGATAGGTAGCTGAAGTAGGTGGATAGGAGGGTTGGGGTGTGGGTTAGTGAGTGAATAGATGGGTGGGTAGCTGCGCACGTTGGTGGGTGAGTGGGTGAGGTGCGCTGTGATGCGGCGCTCACTGTCCATGAAGGGGCACACCTGCACTCGCTCCTGGGCGTGTGCCAGTAAGAACACCTGGGGGGTAGAGGAGTGAGGTGGGGGGGAGGAGGCAGCGAAAAACATGAGATCCGAGGAATTAACAATTACAGACCAGCAGAGGAACCGCGGTGCTAATCAAACTAAAACTAAAATTTTTTATTTTAACAGGTAAGGCCCACTGAGCTATTTAACTCTTTTTCCAAAGCGAGCTAGCCACAAATGATAGCTCAACAAAGTGGCTTATCACGTGAAAATTTACATAAGCCAAATAATATGAATGCGTGTTGATTCTGACAGAAAGTTGGGGCAAGTGCACGTAACCGGCATTTATGAAGGTTGGCTAACATGGTACTCCAGGGGGTGGGTGGCCAGCAACACATGCCTGGCCACCGCCGTCTCCCCAGTGCTAATGTTTACACATGCATCAGGTATTCATCCCCTGTTAAGTCTTAACAGAATGTTGGGGTAAGTACTGAGAGCAAGTATCACCTATGAAGGTCCACACACACACACAAAGATCCCCGGTATAGCCTTAATAGACTGTTGGGGCGTGTACTGTTAGCAAGCACCTACGAAGGCCGGGACAACAGACGAGGGGGTGGGTGGCCAGCACCACGCTGGCCGCCTTTATCTCCCCAGTGGTAATGTTTACATATCTCACCAGGTACTTATTTGAGGCTGAGTCGACCTAGGGGAGGCCCAGGACCGGTTCAGATAATCGTCACCGATGTTGGCCGTGTGCGGGAATCGAACTCGGGTTGCCGGGTTCGTAGCCCAGCACGCGAACCACGAAACCACCGCTCACCCCACTGTCAATTATCCTTCCCACACACACGAACCTGCACACACACGCAGGGCAGCCTGGGCACTTGTGTGAGCACGGCACCCCCCTCCTCCCCCTCCTCCCCCTCCTCCACGCTGAGCTGCTCCAGCTCCCAGGAGCAGGCGCCCCCCGTGGCACTCCGCTGGCACGCGCGCACCACCCAGCGCCCTCGCCGTGGCGCCACCACTCCCATCGGGCGAGGCCCACGTGCGAAGCTCACGTTCAGCCCCTGGTCCCCCACGGGGAGGACTCCCACCTGCAGCTCCGTCTCACCTGGGGGGGGAGCACGGGGAGCACGGGGAGTGGGGAATGGATCGGCAATTTAGGAGCTGGTGTATCTACAGCAGAGGGTCGACAACCAACACAACGAGGAGAGCCGTTTTTGCTTGAAATTTGGTTAAAAAATATATATATATTTCAAGAGCCACAATGCACGTGAATACAAGACAGTCCCTAAAAATAACGTCACGAAACAGTCCTTAATGAGCCACATGTGGCTCCGGAGCTGCAGGTTTGCCGATCCCTGCCCATAGTAAACTGGACTTCCATGGTGAACTGGACTTCCATAGTCAGGGGTTGGCAACCAAAATAACAAACCCATTTTTTTTCGAATTTCAAGAGCAGTACTGCAGGCCTTAAAGAGCCACCGCATGCGGCTCCAGAGCCGACCCCTGGTTTCGAGAAACGAGTGGGGTGGGGAGGTCTTCTGGCAGGGGCGAGAGTGATGGGGGGGGGGGGGCAGAGGACGTCTCTGTGAGTCGTGAAGTCCACGTACCAGCTGGCGGTTAGGAGTCGTTATTCCGAAAGCGGATGAGGTCGCGCAAAAGCTGATAGCTCGGCTATGGAGCCAACCACCTTGAGCCACGGTGGTACCAGATCGTACCATGACGAAGTATATCGCGGCAGCCCTAGCTCGGAGAGTGGGCGTGCCAGTACCCGTTGTGAGTCTGTGCCATTGTGGATCAGCGGGCACGGGGGGCAGGCGGGCGGGAGGGAGCTCACCGTGGCAGCTCCACGTGGCGCCCCTGGCTACCTCCTCTTCATGGCAACCTGCGGCAAGGGGCGGGGCAGCGGCGTGCGGTTAGCTTGTGTACAACCACATCAGTGGCGGCTCCTGCTAAATCTCTCAGGGGGGGGGGGGCAAATGTCTGGTTGATTGATAAGGATAAGGTCCACCCATGCAATGGATAAATTAACAGCTTTAGCATGTAAAGGCAACTTCACTACTTTAATATTAATGAAAAATAAAGTGACTCTTACAATACATCTCCTTGTTTGTTTCTATACTCACTATTATTACAATCCACTCAGTTTTTTTTATTAAAGATTCCACTAGGTGGCGACAAATAATTTTGTTGGATGAAACGTGCTTACGTATGATGACGTAAGCACGTTAGTGCGAGCCCTGCCGGAAGCCATAGAGAATGCATTGGAGCGCCCGCCGTTCGATAAAAAACATCTTTGAATGTACGTCTATGGGAACAATCTGGGCGATTCTCAGCCGGAGTGAAATCGCCCAAAAAAAGGCGGTACTCCACAGAACGTGACATGACGCTGATTGGACTATATCCAGAGGCACAGTAACGGCTAGCGTGACTCTGTGGTTGAATGAGATTTTGAATGTGATTGAAAAAGTCCCTTTCACACTTTGGTGGTGCGTCGCCCAATCGCCCTAATGAAGAAACCGCCCCTGAACCACATCATCATCGTCATCATCAGCCACGATCTATCCACTGCTGGGTAAAGTCTTTCCCATTCTGTCGCCATCTCTCGTGGTCGACCCAGCACCTGCGCACGACATGAGCTGATTTCATCGCTCCAACGCCTTTCGAATGACTTCCATTCTTTTTCTGCAACTCCATAATTAGTGTTGGCCATCGACTATCGTCCCTTCTAGCTGTGCCGTGTCCTGCTCAATCCCACTCACTTGTTTTAACAGTGTGACTGATGTCATCCCACGTGCGTTCTACAATCAACGCATTCGCAATGCAATCCCAGGCAAGCATTCGTATCCCCGCGCTTCTTTAAAAAAAAATCCCAATTTTGTTCGTGCATTTCTGAGCCGCGTGTCAAGAGCGGGTGGCACGTGATGTGCACCCGCACAGCCAGTGGTCACCGCGGCGAGGCTGTGCACAGCGTAGCAGCGTGCGGGCGGTACCGGGAGCAGTGTAGAACACGGACGCCGCTTCGCTGCCCCCCGGGAGGCTGTACACGTTCACGAGCACCGCCTCGCCGGGCGACACGCACGCGCACGCCTGCACTCGCCACTGCGGCACAACAACAACAACAACCGCCGCCGGTCAACAATAAGCAGCGGTGACATCGCCACGTGAAGTATTGAAGACCCGCTGGCTGGAGTCATGGGACAGACCCATGTGGCATGGGTTGACTGAGATGACCGGCAAATGCACCAACTATGCTCCTCACAGTGCTAACTCTGCATCTTAGCCATCTGGCGCTCCACTCATTGTTGTGAGCGTCATTCGTCTGCCCTTTGAGGGAAGCCCTTCGGCCAGTAGTGGCACGAGCCACTACGGCGACGGTGCTCGTGTGCGACGATGGGGATAATTTCCCATTAAACTCGTGTACACGAACATGCCAATCTCTCCCTTTAACGCCGCTGCTGTGCGTGCGGGACGCCTTTCCATCTCTGACCCCGCCGACTTACCCTTGGGTGACACCCACCTCAAACCTCTATATAACCTCTTGTTGCAGCAGCTCTTTCCTGTTCAGCAGTTCTACTGCTGTATTTTTTCACCTGATGATGATTGCTTGTGTTGCGAGTGAAACGTCGTGATTTATTATTTACTTTTCTACCTACGTGAATTTACCGAAAGAACCAAAGAGTATGGATTCCTGCAGTCACGAAAACTTCAAATCAAGAGAGTACCATTCTTGTTCAGCTGTCACCTTGTATTTGCTCACAGGAACACACCAAGGGAGTGGGGTGATGCAATTAGCGAGACGCCGTGGCATAGTGGGGCTCCAGCGACCGAGTGCCGTGCACAGTTTTTTTTGTCAACCCACTGCTGGACGAGGGGCTCCACCAACACACCTTCAGGGATATATCTCCTGCCATACTTCACCACACCGGTCAGTGTGAATTGAAGGTAGGAGGAGGAGTGCGGGATGGCCACGAACTTTCCTGCACTGCCCTCTACTGCAGACAATGTCTACGACACGTGTTTTATGCATGGTGACGGTCGCCCATGCAAGGCGTATCCAGCCTTACAATTTTGCTTAGCTTCCGAGATCGGACGAAATTGCGTGCGCTCCAGTTGATTTGGCCACAGGCACCAGTGCTCTAGTAAATGTTTAAATTCTGGAGTTGAATTCACAAAGCCTCCTCTAATGCAGGGGTTCATCTGTGCTTTGTGTCCGAGAGCAACCAGTGACAAAGACGTGAACCCAGGAGAAGCAGGATCCACCCAGGGGCAGCGATACATTCATATCGGTTAATATTCCAGAAAACAAATGTCATGCTTCAAAAACAAATGCCGTGTTTCATGTTGACACCGGCACGAGAAGAACAGGCGATGGCAACAATACACAAATCGCATTCCAAGTGAACAGGGCCGTGCGGCAGACACGTTGCAGAAGTCGTTTAGACTACAGTAGTGTTTCCAAACTTGTGGGTCATGGACCAATATTGGTCTGCGGCTCCATGCGAAGTGGTCTGTGAGACTGTTGCAGATTCTACGATATTCTTTCCACAAAGATCGAGATGGGACCATGGCCAAAAGCCATTGATGCCACCTCCACGACACCTCCTTGCCGAGGCGTTTTACCCGCAGGCCAGGTTCTGCAGCTGCTGTGCAGTCGACACGCGGTGACCTCCGTGGTCTGCCCTGACAATATCTCACCATTTGGTCTTAGACCCACACAGTGACCCTTAGGCTCACAGAGACCCATAGGCTCACACAGAGACCCACAAGCTGACACAGAGACTGCCAGGTTCACACAGAGACCCACAGACTCATACAGAGACCCACAGACTCACACAAAGCCCCACAGGCTCACAGAGACCCACGGACTCACACAGACACCCATACATTTACACACAGACCCAGAGATCTGCCACATAAGACTCCTGGAGACCACTCCAATGCCCCTCTCGACAATCGGCCCTCCCCCATCCTGCATACGCGTGGTCCCATCCAGCGCGACCGCTCTTGCCTGATAAAATCAGCAGCATTTTCCGCACCAAGTTTTCTTACCGACTGTCTCACAAAACGTCAACTATTTCCCTGCCCATTGCACAACTGTCTAGACTGTATTAATGACCTAATCAATACAGCGGCTGGGCACCGTCTGAATAAGATAACTGCCGGCATCGGTTACTGATGCCATATGATTGGAGAATGATCGTCTACGAGAGTCTGACGATGATCCGCGTGGGGCCCCAGACGGGGTCGGGCACTATTCCGTTTAGGCCACAGCGCTCGCGCGTGCCCAGTGACGCGGTCGCGCAGGCAAGCGCCCTCCATCTCTTTGCTGTGGGGATAAGGACGGGAGGGGTGACCTGCGCAATGCCGACATGCCACCGCTCGGTCGCCGAGTGCGTGAACGCGTGCGCGCATTTATTTTCTAGATCCGACGCTGTCTGTGAATGGTGAGAAAATCCATCGAAACAAGGAGAACGTAGTGTGGAGGCTGAAACTGAACAGGAATAAAGATTTTTGATTTAAAGCTTTCGTGACTGCAAGGATTCATATTCTGGGCAATCATCATCAGGTAGGTTTCACACCTGATGATGGTGGGTTTCACACCTGATGATGATTGCTTGTGTTGCAATCGAAACGTCGTGAGAATTTTATTGTTTTATTTGTATTATTTTATTATTTCCCTTCTACGTGACTTTACCGAAAGAACCAAGAACATGAATAAAGATGTGCGGAGTGTGATCGCTTCTCTGCTGCCCGACGGAGCGACCAGATATTCGACCCTTCTTGAAAGTTGGTGGTCCAAACAATATCACGGCCCAAACAATCCACATTCAGCGCTCTTTGGAGATGGTGGTCTATGTATGTATCATGTTGAACTTCTTTCGCAACGTACATACACAACAGTGGTCATCGGAGGTACACGCAATGTATAGGGTCACGTGCTATGCATGTGGGGCAAGTGGTTGGGAGCAATGTCTTCCTGACGTGTGCGAGTAGCACAGCTCTGCGTGGTGATTTTGCTCTTGAGTTGGTGGTCTAGGCAAGGCTGACAGTGTCGCACACGCAATGTGGTGGCCACGTGCCACTCAAGCAGGGCGAGTGGATTGGGAGCAGCATAACTCTGCGTATCGCTTTCTACGTGGACGCTTTTTGTAAAGAGAGGAAGTCGTCGGGAATGTTGTGTAAAGCAGAGGGGTGAATAATTCGCCTATCAGATGATCACCCCAGTTGTTGGACTGCTTTGCACAACCGCGAGAACAGGAGACACGATAAGAGACAATATTTTTAGTATTTTCGTGAGCCGGTTTCACACACGCAGGTGGCGTTCGTGACACTGAGACAACACAAGCTGTGGCTCACGCGAGAGTTGGGCTGCTGTCGTGATGCTCGATACAATCTCCAGAGAAAACAATTGTCAACATTTTGCTTGCTTTTCAACATTCCTCCCTCCTCCTCTGCTTTTTGATGAAACATCAAATCAATTGGGACATGGGCTCGTGATGTGTAACAACTTGATTTAATTGGCTCTGAACTAAAAATAAGTAATTTTTTTATTTTACCAGGTAAGGCCCTCTGAGCTATTACAGTTCTTTTTCAGAAGCAACCTGGCCCAAATGATAGCTCAACGAATTGGCTTATAATGTGGACATTTATAACAACAGCAAAATACTCTAAACGCGTGTCTCTAAACAGCTCTGTCGGGTAGCGAAGGGTACAACTGAACATTGGCATTATACCTATACAATGATATAACCCAAAATAAACTAGTTACGAAGAACGCTGTGGCGTTTAAAGGCTTAAACAATATTATTTTGTGACAGTGTCTTGGCAATGGCACACAAGCACAGCTAACTAAAACTCAAAACATTCATCAACAACACCGTGGCCCTATAAATAATTTATAAATCATTTATAAATAAACAAACATCTCGGGCAATGGGCCTTCTTCAGAGACACTGATGGAGAAACTTGTTATCAACGCAGTCTCCAGGAGTTGAGTCCACGTTGATCTGAAGAAATATAGGACTAGATCGCCCAAGGGATTTCTGAGGATGATTTGAGATTTAAGGGCATAAACCCAAGGGAGCTAAGGGATAGAGCGAGTCTGAGAGCGCATCCACTGAGGAGATGGAGCGATGATTTTGGTTCATGTGCAAAGCGCTAGGTAGATTATTATTACATTGCAGCATCGTGATGGGTAGTGGCGGCTTGGGGAGGACTTCGACCCGTAGTGGATTGTCTACGGCTGCTGCTGCTCCTGATGAAACTCAAGGGAGAGATGTAGCATTGATGTTGAATGTGGGCATTTATAGTGTCAAGATCTCCATGCTCTCGTGACGCCAGTCACAAGGCCATTCCACTGACGCCACTTTCCTACACGAGATCAGCGAACACCTTTCTCCGCTCCTCTCACTCCCAGCTCTCCGCTGCTCGTGACACCAGACACCACTCACTCCATCCTCTCCAAGCACACCTTCGTGGCTACGTTGGCATCCCTTAAATGTCTCCCAGTGGCACTCTCGCCTCTCACACCGCTCGTTCCATGCCTCCGTGCGAAGGCCGTTTAACTCCTCACGAGACCCTGTGCCGTGGAGACCCCAGAGGCTGCATCGAGGGGCCTGCTGCGCTTCCCAGGAGATCTCCTCCCGCTCGGCAAAACCATCTCCAGTTTAAACATTGACCGTGACTCTCTGTGCTGATGACACCGGGCTCTGCATCGCCACTGACGCCATAACAATACCTGCCATTCACCACCAAGTAACGGTGACGTCACCACAGTGCCTGTGCCAGGCCAGGTGCACTTTAAGAGCATGTAAAGTGTCGAAGGCTCACTGACAGGAGGTAACAGGACACACCCGGGTGCCATGGGTTGACTGACTGGCAGATGCACCAGCTGTGTCCCCTACTGTGCCAACGTGCTGCATTTTAGCCACCCGGCACTCCACTCGTTGTTGTAAGTGTCGCTCCTCTACCCTCCGTTGTTGCTGGAGGGCGACTGCCTCTAACTGGACAGTAGCGTCACCCTTCAAGAGCATCCTCCATGAACCCAGCCTCACCATCCACTCTCACATCGTCGTGGATTGGTTCAAACTTCCACCAGGTAGCTGTTACCAAAACAGACGTCCTGCCCATCAGGGAAAACGTCCACTCTCAATAGCTCCAGTTTGAGTATCCAATCCTCAACTAAGATCTGCCACTGGTAAGAAGTGTGAGAGACATTCAAACTGCTATTGGTGCTGAGCTCCCGTATCCTGTCCCCTCAGCTACAGCCCCTCCGCACAGCTACACTCAGCCTCCCCGTGTCCCCTCAGCTACAGCTCCTCCACACAGCTACACTCAGCCTCCCCGTGTCCTCTCAGCTACAGCTCTTCCACACAGCTACACTCAGCCTCCCCGTGTCCCCTCAGCTACAGCTCCTCCACACAGCTACACTCAGCCTCCCCGTGTCCTCTCAGCTACAGCTCTTCCACACAGCTACACTCAGCCTCCCCGTGTCCCCTCAGCTACAGCTCCTCCACACAGCTACACTCAGCCTCCCCGTGTCCTCTCAGCTACAGCTCTTCCACACAGCTACACTCAGCCTCCCCGTGTCCTCTCAGCTACAGCTCTTCCACACAGCTACACTCAGCCTCACCGTGTCAGCTACAGCTCCTCCACACAGCTACACTCAGCCTCCCCGTGTCCCCTGGGCTACAGCTCCTCCACACAGCTACACTCAGCCTCCCCGTGTCCCCTGGGCTACAGCTCCTCCACACAGCTACACTCAGCCTCCCCGTGTCCTCTCAGCTACAGCTCCTCCACACAGCTACACTCAGCCTCCCCGTGTTCCCTCAGCTACAGCTCCTCCACACAGCTACACTCAGCCTCCCCGTGTCAGCTACAGCTCCTCCACACAGCTACACTCAGCCTCCTGTGTCCCCTCAGCTACAGCTCCTCCACACAGCTACACTCAGCCTCCCTTTGTCCCTTCAGCTACAGCTCCTCCACACAGCTACACTCAGCCTCCCCGTGTCAGCTACAGCTCCTCCACACAGCTACACTCAGCCTCCCCGTGTCCCCTCAGCTACAGCTCCTCCGCACAGCTACTCACCTTGTGGCCCCGGGGGTGGCGCGGGGTGGGCACGGGGTGGCGCAGCAGCAGCAGGGTGCACTCCCTGTGCAGGTCGGTGAACACCAGCTCCACGCGCCAGCCCTGCAGCACGAGGGTGCTCGCTTCAACGACACCAACAACAACAACATCATCATCATCACGGTCCATCATAATCATTATGGTCATATCGTCATCATTGTCATCGTCAACGTTGTCACGACAATATTCATCGACAGCATCATTGTAGGGTTATTGTCATCAGTCAGCATAATACAGTCATGTCAGTAACTATGATTTTAACCATTATCATTACCATCATTTTCACCATCACTGTCATAATTAATGTAATCAAAATACAGTATTCATGACGATAATTAGTATTGTCATCTCACTCATCATCCTTGCCATAATTATACTGGTCATCCTCATCATCAGCCTCCATCATAATCTTTATCATCATCAATCTGCCACCATCATCATCATCTTCATCATTATATTTGTCAACATCATTGTCATTGTCAGCGTCATTATCACCACCACCACCACAAAGAATCCAGTTCTACCACTTCAGCCAGACTATCTTTATCTCATCTCCGTCAGCTGTTGTGATCAGAAGAACAACATTCTATTGTCCGTGGGATGTCTGCCAAGACATGGACAGGGCCTAGGGTCTGAAGTTATTTCAACTCTGGTTTTTCGGTAAAGTCACGTAGGTAAAAAATTAAAATAAATTAAATCACGACGTTTCGGGCGCAACACAAGCGTCCTTCAGATGGGGACAACTTAGTGAAAGAACACTGCTTAAGTGATTTCATTTATTAAACGTATTTACCTACGTGACTTTACCGAAAAAAAACAAAGAGTATGAATCCTTGCAGTCACGAAAACTTCAAATCTAGAAGTTATTTCAACTGTCATCCATTTACCTAGGAGAAACCGAGTCCCAAGACTCATTGTCAGCAGGGTGTTGCTACATCGGGATGTTTTGGACAATTCCGTGGGCGAGAAAGTGGCTTCACTTGGGAGTCACCGAGGTACTCATAATTAGAATGCTGCAGAGTTGATCGTCGATTATCCAGCTGCTTTCAACATGATCCGGCAGTCCCGGGCCGATCCGGCAAAACCGTTCCAAAGGCCGTAACGAGTCCGGCTGTCGGCACCGCGTGCGTGACAAAGCGAGTAGCTCTAGGCTTGAATTCAGAGCTAAATATTGTATACGCTACATTATACACTACATACAACTTAAACAATGAAAACACTGCACCACACACATCACCCCGTGATGCAGAGTGGTAGTACAGTAAGTGCAGTAACCGTTTACAGGACATGTATTTTTGTCTATTTGTACGTTTATTTATGCGAATTTCACGTAGTAAACCAATGTAAAACACAAAAATACAACATCGATGATCTGTATTTATTTATACTGCAGGAGGAATCCGAAGAGCTATACAACTCTTGTTCACAGATGTCCAGTAGGGGCGGGTCAGAACGTGACAACAACAAGCAGAACAAAAACACGACACGAGTGTAAAGTGTAGGAAAGTAAACAAATCGTTACAAAACTGATACAAATAAAACCAAACTACATGTTTAATCTTACCAAGGAAAAGGTAAACAACCCGTTACAAATTGTTATACAAATAAAACCAAACTACATGTTTAATCTTACCAAGGAAAGGTAAACAACCCGTTACAAATTTTGATACAAATAAAACCACACTATATGTTTAATCTTACCAAGGAAAGGTAAACAACCAGTTACAAATGTTATACAAATAAAACCACACTACATGTTTAATCTTACCAAGGAAAGGTAAACAACCCGTTACAAATTTTGATACAAATAAAACCACACTATATGTTTAATCTTACCAAGGAAAGGTAAACAACCAGTTACAAATTTTATACAAATAAAACCACACTACATGTTTAATCTTACCAAGGAAAGGTAAACAACCCGTTACAAATTTTGATACAAATAAAACCACACTATTTTTTGTTTTATCTTACCAGGTAAATCCCACCAATGATCCATTCGCCACTCTTTCATCAACGACCTGACCACCATCAATCACAATCTCAACTAAGTGGCTTTAACCATCGTGCCGAACGCCACAGCGGCAAAGCCATCTGAGCAATCCCCTGGGGAGAAAAGCCCACCTCGCAGTGTTTGAGGGAGGTGGTAACGCTCAAAGTGGTCCACACGAGACCCACTCACTTACTCTTTGGTTCTTTCGGTAAAGTCAAGTAGATATAAGATAAATAACGGTTCGGGGGCAACACAAGCGACTGCTCGCAGTCTGCCGCAATCTGCTTCAGCAGCAGACCATGCTTTTCCACCTGACGACGGACGCTTGTGTTGCGCCCGAAACGTCGTGATTTATTTTATACCTACGTGACTTTACCGAAAGAACCAAAGAGTATGGATTCCTGCAGTCACGAAAGCTTCAAAAAATCAAGACCCACTCATTTGCTTTGGTTGCCCTGACATCTCACAGCCCACGGGTGTGATTTCTCGACAGACTCGTCAAATCTCCCCGTGATCCACCAGCCCCTGGGCCGGTGACGACGCCTCACCACAAGGAGGTGGCAACCCTGCCGCGGCATCTCTTTAAAGTCTTCCCGGGGACATTACGAGTCATGGTTTTTTTGTTTTCAACTGCGTAAGTAGAAGTAGTAGTCATCATAACGGGAGTTTACGCCACTCAAGCCCACGAATTCACGAGCAACTATCCCTTCATTGGGCATCGTGATTGAGTACCCAGTGCAGTTCTATATTCTTCCCGCGACATGTCCCAGTTTGTTGAGCCTCAGGAGGTGTCAACCCTACCGTCGGGGCTCACGGCCCAGCTGATGTTGAGGAGGAGGCGGCCCTCGTGGAACGAGGAGGAGACGAGGAGGTCCCGGGGGGAGGCGGGAGCTCGCCACGCAGGTAAAGGTGAGTCGCAGGCTCCTGGAGGACACGCCACACGCCACACACCACACCGTCCCGTGCCATGCCACAGCGTGCAGTGCCACACCACACCACATCGCCCCGTGCCACAGCACAGCGTGCAGTCATCCACACCACGTAAACGCGCCGCTTCAAGGCCACCCCACACGCGCGCCACTCTTACCTCACCACACCAAAGTGAACCATCCCACGCGCCTCACCATATAACTCCACACCGCACCGCATCACATCACATCACCGCGTTTGCTTCACACGCATCGAAAGCCCGCACACACACACACACGGGGGTCGCACCTGGCCTCACCTGGTCGCGCAGTGCAGTTGAGCTCCTGAGCACAAATACAAGACACACAGAGAGAGAGACGCACACGGACACACGTCCCCATTAGAACTCGACGCACGGCCGTGCAGGACCCCCTTGAAGGGGAACGCAACGATTGGCGGGCGGTGAGGAGGACGCGGAAGATTTGGGGGTCTCTCACCGAATCCCAGCACCAGGGGGGTCGCGGACAGAGAGATCCTCCTGACAGCGCGGTGGAGGCGATGGCTCCCAGTGGCACAACGGAGACGCACAGACAACACATCCTCTGGCGGAGCAGCAACAGCAGCAGCAGCAGCGGCGGCAGCAGCAGCAGCAGCGGGTGGTTACTGCTCCACACGGCCACTCCGGGGCCCATCAGCTCGTGTCCTTCATGCCCCGGCGCCCTGCAGAGGAGGCTCCCGCCTCCGTGTCTTGAAGCAGAGGGGGGGGGGGGTTGAGCAGAAGGTCCGCTAGGAGATTGACGGAGGCACGGTGATGGGCAGGGGTGGGGGGTGGTTGCGGGGGGAACTGGACGGTCAGGGATGAACAGGGAGCTGCAGGGGATGAGCAGAGTGGTTAAGCGATGCACAGAGGCAGCACGCAGAGAGAGCTAGAGGGAGACTGGCAGTCGCAGCGGTGAGCGGTGAGCTGCGGGGAGGCGCAGGTGAGAAGACCCCGGCACCAGCGGTGCAGGAGGCGCCAGTGGAGATGCAGGGAACACGAGAGCGCCTCTCTCCCCTCGCCGTTCCTCGCGTCAAGCAGCCTGGCCCCTCCGGTTATTCCTGTTCGCTTCGCGATCTGCTCTCTTGCTCGGCCCGCATCGAGCCAGCCAGCGAGACCCCGGCTGCTGTGAAGCACACGCGACTCCTGAGCGGCGTGGGTGGTGGTGGTGGTGGGGGGGGGGGTGGAGGCCGTCTGTTGTTGTGGTCAGGCGGTGAACCTGCGGTGGTGGTGATGGTGGGAGGAGCAGGAGGCGAGGTTGAGATTGGGAGCAGAGCGGTGAAACACCGCGTGTTGAGGGATGGAGGGGGGGGAGATGCGGGGTGATGGGGTTGGTGGTGGCGGCTATCTCATTGTGTCGAGCCGGTGCGAGCCTGAGTCGTCCACATTCCTCTTCACGCGCCGCGTGCCACCGAGGAATGCGCGTGCAAGGAGGTGTGCGGGGTGCGATCGCTGTTGTGATGATGATGATGGGGGGGAGCGGCTGCGCAGTTGTTAGCGCGCCGAGTTTGATTCCCGCTCGCGGTCAACTTCGGTGGCGAATATATGTACCGGTTCTTGGCACCCCCACCCACCCCTAAGTCGACTCAGCCAGATGTGTAAACATCACTGGGGATACCAAGGCGGCCGGGCGTGGTGTTTTCCACATCGCTCCCTCGCGTTTTCCGGCCTTAATAGGTGCTCGCTAACAGCACTTGCCCCAACAGTCAGTTTAAAGGATCGTCTTAGTCGCGCCCGTTCGGAGACACTCGAGAAAGCTCCATAGAACCACGCAATTTGAACCACCGTGGGTGGAGTGGTGGCGCTATGGTTAGCGCACTGCTGCCCTTAAATTCCGCGATGAGCGATTTCCCAAGCGGCCTTTGTCTCTCTCTCCCCCCCCCCCCTTCATCAACCCACACGGACCACCGTGGTGAAGTATGGCCAAACAATCCCGATCACCGGAACTACACGTGGTTCTCAAAGTGTGGGCCCCAGTTCCAGCGGTGGTCTGTGACGGTCCTCCAGGTGCTCCGCGGGGCTGTGATGCAAATGCAGGCTGATCCGGACAGTAATGCCAATGTTTGTACGCCTTCTGTTTCGTACACGAATTCATATTTTACTAATGGTATTTAATTGAACAATCAAGTTCGGTAAAATACTCTGATTAAACTACCATAACCCTAAGATCTAAATGCCCCCCCCCCGCCTAAAATACCTTTGTAGCTGCGTTTTAAAAACAACATGTTTAATGTTACAAGCGGTAATATGAATCATTATACACTATGGGGACCTCATTTGCCAGTAAAAATATGATAATTGGTTCTTTACCCTTCTATCTGGCAACAAAACTGACACCTTTTTACAAGGAGTCATGTTTGCATAGACCGCAATACCTGCAATCATAAATACAAACAAAAGACATAACTCTGATAATGTGCACATTATCAGAGTGCACATTATCAGAGTTATGTCTTTTGTTTGTATTTATGACTGCAGGTATTGCGGTCTATGCAAACATGACTCCTTGTAAAAAGGTGTCAGTTTTGTTGCCAGATAGAAGGGTAAAGAACCAATTATCATGAATCATTATGTTTGTATTACTGGCTTGTCATCAGGGGTGGGTGTGTGGGGGGGTCCGCTGAAATGTTTGCATCGGCCGAGTGGCACGCGGGTCCAAAAGAGTTTCAGAAACGCTGCACCAGAGTTAGTCGATTCCTACCCCAGAAAGTAGGTGTCACCTCATTTGATGATGCCGGCTTGAACACACACCTGCCATTCGGTAAGCGCTTTAAAAGCTGCTTCGAACCCTTGCCCATTACATTTCACGAGTGCCGGTGCAGTGGTTCACAGCACATTCGAGTTTACAAACAATAGCAAATCAATTATACTCTTTGGTTCTTTCGGTAAAGTCACGTGGGTAGAAAATAATAGATCACGACGTTTCGATCGCAACAAAAGCGACCATCATCAGGTGAGACAATCACAGCAGGAAAACTGCTGAAAATTCTGCTGAAAAAGTTTTTAGCAGTTTTTCCCTGCTGTGATTGTCTCACCTGATGATGGTGGCTTGTGTTGCGATCGAAACGTCGTGATCTATTAATTTCTACCCACGTGACTTTGCCGAAAGAACCAAAGAGTATGGATTCCTGCAGCCACGAAAGCTTCAAATCCAAATCAATTATAATTTAAAGCCCTTTGGCGTGCACGTCAACCCACGAATGGTTCGCATCTGTAAGACCTGAGAGAGAACCTCCAATGAACTGAGATAACCCCCTAAGAACCCAAGAGGGAAACCCAATAAACTGAGAAAAAAAACCCCTAAGAAAATGAGGCACAGAAAAGTTTAAGTGTCACGCTGGGAAGGACGAGACCACTTTTGGATAAAAGAGGGGTGAGGGGGGGTAGAAATGAGTTTTCGTGGCAGAAATAGGTGGTTAACGTCGCTACATGGTGACCCCCCCCCCGCCCGCCATGGTAAATATAATAATAATCTTGGAGGGTGGTGGTTAGTTTACTGCTGTTCTTCTCGTAGAAAGTCTGTGAGTAAAGGCAATTCGTGGAGCGGAGCTTTGCACGAGACCTGCACCACCGTGAGCAGCTGCCGGCCCAGCGCTGCCGCAGCAGCAGCTGCCGGGGCTGTGAGACGTTCACAATTGACACTCGACATGTGTACCCTACATAGCTCTGCTCACCCACTGATTGGTGAACACCTAACCGTTCCGCGCAGGCAGTGATGGGTGTGTGTGTTGACCTTCCTTCGGACCGTATGCAGGCAACCGTGCTAATCGGAGGTGCTAATCAGTGAGTGGTATTTGACCACACGTTGATCAGCGCCGGTTGGAGATGTGGGGTGGGGGAACATAGATTTTTAAGCAAATGAGTACAGTACAGTAAAAAAACGATGCACGTTGCTGCTAGTCTTCTCTGCTGCCCACGATGTAGCCCTTAGACAAAGATCCCCCGTATAGCATTAACAGACTTTCGGGACAAGTGCTGTTCGCGAGCACCTATGAAGGCCGGCAATAAACATGAGGGGGTGGGTGGCCAACACCACGCCCGGCTGGCATTGTCGCCCCGGTGGCGATGTTTACACACCGAATTAGGTACTCATTTGAGGCTGAGTCGACCTAGGGGAGGCCTAGGACCGGTTTGGATAATCGTCAGGTTTAGCACGCTAACCGCTAAACTACCACTTTCCACGCACAAAAAGATCCCCCGTATAGCCTTAACAGACTGTAGGGGCAAGTGCTGTTAGCAAGCACCTATAAAGGCCGGAACGGTACACGAGGGGGTGGGTGGCCAGCGCCACGCCCGACCGCCTTTGTCTCCCCAGTGGCGATGTTTACACACCGCGCCGGGTATTCATTTGAGGCTGAGTAGACCTAGGAAAGGCCCAGGACCGGTTCAGATTATCGTGACCGGTGTTGGCCGTGAGCGGGAATCGAACTCAGGTCACCGGGTTACGAAGAGCAGCGCGCGAACATTACCCACCACATAGCCCCGCAAACCCTGCGACAACCTGTTTGCACACGCTAGTCGCCCATCCAAGCACTACCCAGGCTCAACTATGTTTAATTTCTGGCATCCTTATCTCGATTCACGTGAATTTCTCTTCGAAGTGGCCCTTGCAAGCAAGGCTGACGGCTGTGGAGACGCCCAATGTCAAAACCAGTCCGGAATTCGCTTGTGTCGAAACAACGCTGCTAAAATTACACGCTCCCCGAGGGCCGTGTGGCTAATGGTATGTAAGAAAAACACAACTTTTGTTAATGGTCTTGTCAACAGAGGCATTGTTTCATGTGTCTCGGATTGATTTCATCTTCTGCTTAAATGAACGTATTGGCAGTACATCGGAAGTAGTCTTGTGTTCAGCCCACTTCGATCCGAGGGTTATCCGCACCGTGGGCTATCCTTCGCCACTGACTTCTGTCTTCTGCTTCTCCTCCTCATTGCCTGTTCCAGCGTGAGCCTCGTCCATGCTTTGATGTTATCTATCCATGTCATCCTTGCTCTTCCTCGTGCACGTGAACCGTGTATTGTTTTGCATATCCGGCGGTATGCGGTATAACAAAGAAAAGGCAAATTAACGCATTGTTTAGTTATTTACCCGCGATTCGCAACCCCGGTCAGAAATTCTTGCGGGGTGGTGCGAGTCAAAATCAGTTTCCGCGATGTCGAAGCAGTCGGAAGACGAACGTCAGCTCAAATTTTGTTTGTAGACGGTTTTATGAGGACCGGTGTGTTTTTGCTGCACTGGTGTAGTACCGCCAATGCGTCCAGATCCAGGATAATGACCGACTTCTGCCAGCGTGAGATTAATCTCAAATCCGCATCGCCAAAGTGGTTTGGGAAATTTCGACGGGTATTCTCACGCGTGAGGACTGCTTCAAGCCATGATTTAACCTACCACCCGTGTAGAACCCAGAGTGGATGGTGATGATGAGGACTTGGCACACATCATCACTTTTCCTTTCAAAAGCAACATTCAAGATATCAAAAGGTGGTGTCGATAGAGACGCTTTTTTTTATCCTTTATATTAAGTTCACTTGCTTGCTTGCTTGCGCGCTTACGACCGTGCAAATATTTCGGTCGTTTTTTAACCCACTTCCCGTGATCCAATCGAGCTGACATTTTGCACACAGACTCGTTGTGCGTGACAATTTATTTTCGTGGAAAAACATTTCCAAAATTTTCCACTTTTTAGGAATTTTTTTTTTATATTTAATTTAAAATACCAATGTGATAAAAATGAAACTCTTACTCAAGAAAAACAGAAATGAATAATAAAATAAAACCGATGCCACGCATATAAAGGATTTATAGTGAAAAACTTTGTTTTTACGGATTAATTTTATTTTGCTCGCTACCAGTACACAGTCAACACCGCCGCCTTATAGGGCACGCAGGCAGCTTTGCATGAGTAAGCAAGCGCGCGTGGGTTGATGGACACACACAGCAGCAGCAGTCCTGTAAAAACGGGGGGGGGGGGGGGGCGAGGTTGGAGGGCTGCACAGTCAACGTTAAACACACTTTTGACAAATGTGAAAACGCTGAACGGACAGAGCAACAACATTTTTGCTTGTGTCTAGCCGTGCATTCTACTCGGGTTGTATCGTGAAATCATCTCTAATTCTACCGTGAATTTTGCTGTCGTTTGGAAGGGCGATGTACCAGCAGAGGGCAAGCTATTTCAAACACGGCAGCTCTTTGATGTGTTTTTCGGGTTGTATCTTGAAGTCCTATGTTTCAAACCACGTGCTGAGACCTTCAGAAAATGAATTGAAGGCTAAGGTGTTATGTATGCAGTCGCTTGCCCTCTGCTGTTGGATCTGCATTGATTCAAAAGTTTCTGGCACGTGCAACGAAACGTCGGACATCATACCCAACAACAAGCAGTCCAACGCGATAGCTTGACAGAACCGCGTAAAACTATGCAGTGGTATTCTGGCACACACCTATGGGTGAGTTGTATACTTATGCACGGCGATGAAGCAGATGCACACAGGCACATTTTAAGTGGTTATGAACATATTTTGACTTGACGATGACAATCTTTTTTTTTTATCTCTGCAAGGAATCAAACGCAACAACGTGTTTGAATTCACAAGTACTTCAGGCAGAGTTATGCAACTCATCTTAACTCCCATATTGCTATAAGTTCATGCAAATTATAAGCCCCTGACAAGTCGTAAACATCCATAATAGAGGTTTCTGGGTTAGATCACGTAAATATATAAATGTGTCGTTAAAACCCGCCACCACCCGACAAAGCCAACTAGTAAGGGTTGTCACGTAAACAGAACGTGCCAATTCGTCACTAGTACAGCACACCGGCTGTGTTGGAGAGCCAAGCCACAACATTTACAAACTGAGTACGACGTTTCGCCAATAATTACGTCACCAGTAGTTCCTTGCGGAGATAAAAAAAAATATTACGTCACCAGTAATTACTGGCGAAACGTCGTACTCGTTTTGAAATGTTGTGGCTTGGCTCTCCAACACACCGGGTGTGCTGTACTAGTGACGAATTGGCACGTTCTGTTTGCGTGACAACCCTTACTAGTTGGCTGTGTCGGGTGGTGGCGGGTTTTAACGACGCATTTATATATTTACGCGATCTAACCCAAAAAAAAACTCTTATGGATGATATTGGTCGTGAAAGTCTACGTGTTAAACTAAGTCATTAATATGTATAAGTGGAGTCCATGTATGTAGAGAATAACTTCTGAATGAGAACAAAACACACGAGGTCGCATTGGGACACTTCAATACAAAGGAATGGAATGATGATGACGATATTAATTCAGGAGGGGGGCCCGATGCTTCACCAGGGGGAGGGTTTCAGCCCTTTACAACTCCCCACCCTCCCACTATGGGGCTGATGACACAGCCAACCACATGCGGCGCACAGGCGGCGTTGTGTAGGACGGTCGCACGACTGCACCAGGCTAGAAGATTCATCATCATCACCAGTAGCGGTCAATCCGATGCTGGATGAAGGCCTCCTTCAAACCTCTCGCGATCGCGCGACGTGAGAGTTCTCCCGTCACCTGCACGCGAGCTGACGTGTCGTCGTGAATCTTCAGCTGAAGAAATAGAGGGCCTCCTCCTGCTCCCTCTCGCTGCTCTCCTGACCGCGCTCCTTGTGGGTGCGGCGCACGGGAGGCTCCGAGCGGAACACCAGCCGGCGCCCCGTCTGTGAACGCCAGCGCACGCGGGGTCGCCGATCGCCGGCGTTCCCGCGATATCGTTTTGACATGACAGATAATGCGCGCTATCGAGTTTCACGCTGTGATGGTCACCGCGCGATGCCCTGTTTCCCGCAGCTTGGTAATTGTATATCACAATGTTATCGTCTGCTTTTTTTTTGTCCTGTGATGGAATTTGAATAGAAATAAAAAGTGATTAAAAGTAATTTGACCTCAGCTCACTCACCATAACCCTGACGCGAGTCTTCTAATCATTGTAACTTTGAAATCGATATCATGCTTATAACACACACGTGCTGTTAGAACGCGATAATGTCACAACATCGCCATCCCATCAGTTACTCGTTAAAGAAAACAAAAAAGGAGTTTAAAAGTGTAATGCAATAACTATATTAATAGAACTTTAATATTGTTAACTTTAATCATTACTATTTCCTAAATATTTTATCAGGAAATGAGAAATGAATGGACAACGATATGACGATATTCTGAACTGTGCGTGTGCATGATGGCAATGGGTTCAGGAATTAAATGCCAATGTTGAGGTCTACGAACCATGAGATGGCTCAGCAGAGAGAGTTTGTGTAGTTTTGCTATTCCACCTCCTCCGTGGAAGGAGTGCAGACTCCAGTAGTTTACTCTATGTTGCATGGCCACAACAGCATGACTGTGGCTTGTCTTTAAATTTCCACCCATGAAGGAGCTGTGTGCGTCGGCCTGGTGGTGATGTTCTGATGCGGTTGATGGTGACACCACCGGTGTCTATCAAGGAGGAGCAATGTCAAAGCCAGGAGGTGTGCGATGTTTGGTTCTCGAATGAGGTGTTTATTCTGGACGTCCGCTTTGTGCCACTCTGTTCGCAAGGGTTTTTACGGATTTTAGGATGGTGACAGTGTGATCTCAGATAGGGGATCGGGACTTGAGTCAGCAGCGAGGAATATTGTGGAGGTCTTGGTTGATGGGTAGGTGGTTGTCAAAAAATTACAACGATACGTAGCAAAATGGACAATGTGTTATTGTGGTTCTTATATCGTACGATGCATTATCGTACTGCCGTACATTGGCAGCCACAGTGGTTACCGGAACAACTTGTGCGATTGTGTACATATGTAGCATAGGCAGCCTACAATGATGCAACGAGGTTAGGGGTGGGGAGATGGAGGCTGGGAGGTGATATTTCAGATGTTTTACATTTTTGTTCTATTCATCAAGTGTTATCACCAACGTGCTGCAGGTGTCCGGTGACCAAGAATCCATTTCTCTCGTAGACGAGTGTAACCGTTTGTGTGCACGTGCGTGTTCAAGCGGGGTGTGTGTACGCGTGATAATAACCCTCCTATTGGTGGGAATCCTTCCCCTGACACCCCTACAGTATGATACTGGAGTTTGTGAGCGTGTGTATGTGGTAGTTCAGTGTGTGCGGCAGTGTGTGTGCGGTGTGAGTGGCGATTTGTATGTGATGTGTATGCGGTGAGTGTGGTGTGTGCGTGGTGAGTGTGGTGTGAGTGTGATGAGTGTGATGTCCACGTGGTATCTGGTGTGAGTGCGGTGAGTGCAATGTGTGTGTGTTGTGAGTGCGGTGTGTGCAGTATGAGTGCGGCATGTGTGTGGGGTGTATGCGGTGTGAGTCTGGTGAGTGCGATGTGTCTGTGTGGTGTGAGTGCGGTGTGAGTGCGGCATGTGTGTGGTGTGTATGCGGTGAGTGTGGTGTGTTTCTTCGGTGTCAGCGCGGTACCCGATGCGTGATCTCAGCCTGCGCTCTCTCCAACGCCCGGCGCAGTCGCTCCTCCTGGTGCTGCTTCTGCTGCCGGGCCTTCTCCTCCCGCATACTGCAACCACATACCACCAACAACAACAACAACAGCCACCATTCACCACTAAGTAGCGATGACGTCACCACGGCACTTGTGCCAGGCCAGGTGAACTTTGAGGCTACGTTAAGTATTGAAAGCTCACTGAAAGGAGGCCACGGGACAGATACAGGTGCTATGGGTTGACTGACTGAGATGACTAGTAGATGCACCAACTCCACATCACCAGATACAACCACATAACATTACAATCACATAACACCATGTACAACCACACACCACTCCATATGATCACACGCCACCATGTGTGATCATACACACTGTCGTACACGATCACAAATAACGTAATTGAACCGATAATTGAGAGCGTGAGCGATTACATTAATAATCAGATGGCCTGGTGCTACGTACGTAGCATGCATCGGCAGCCGGAAGGGAAAGGAGGAGGAGGAAGAGAGGAAGGGCACCGCGGTGGGGGATGTTAACTACCTCGCCTGGTGTGCAGGAGGTCGTGGGTTCGATCTCTACCCTGACGCCTGCTGTATATTTGGAGTTTGCATGTTCTCCCCGTGATCGTCTGGATTTTTCTCCGGCTCTCCGGTTTTTCCTTCAATACTTAGAAAGGTGCGTTTAGAGTATTTGGCTGCGGTAAATTTCTGCATGATGAGCCATCTCGTTAAGCTATAATTTGTGGCCAGGTCACTTCTAAATAAGACCTACATAGCTCAGTGGGGCCTTACCTGGTAAAACAGTAACAGTAGGAGTAGAGTCTCACCGCAAGCGTCGCTCCTTGTGCTTGGCGCGCTCGGCACTGTGCACCCGCTCCGGGGGCATCCCCTCCAGCTCCACCAGCAGCTCCTCGAGGCGGTTCTCCACGCTCGTGAGCATCTGCAGTGTTCCCAGATTCCCCTCGCTGGTGCCCACACATGCCCGGTACACGGCGCACACCTTGGCGCTGAGTGCCTCTAGCATTTGCTCCTGCGGCGGTCGAAGCGGAGGGCGCGAGCAGAGAGGACGACAATGCGTGGATTGCGGGGCGCGCGGACGGAGGGCAGCACATACGGACACGAGGACACCATAAAGAGAAGGAAGCAAGGAGACACCGTAACACACGGAGACCAGGACGCTTAAACACTGGGATTCATGGAGACCAGGACGCTTAGACACCAAAGATGCACAGCAGTCAGGAAACAAAGAGGTCGGGACACTTAGACACAATAACATACAGAGACTTGGTCACTTCGACACACAAACATATAAAGACCAAGACACTTTGACACCAGGACAAATGGAGACCAGGACACACAGACGCCAGGAAACTTCGACACAAGAACATACAGAGACCAAAACACTTAGAAAAAAGGAACATGTACACGGAGACAGGGACACACAGATACTAGGAGACATGGCGACCATCACACAGGGCCACGGGAGTAGTTGGCGATGGTGGGGGTGCGAGGAGAGTGAGTTGGGTGGGATAGGATGCGTGGTGACGGTGAGCGAGGGCTTGGACCAGCGGTCGGGGCTTCCCACCTGCTCTTCCTGGCGGAGCTCGCCGAGCGAGAACACGTTGGCCTGGAGCTCCAGGTCGGACGCCCTCTCCTCCTCGTGAGTGATGGCGGCACGCAGCTCCTGCACTTGGACATCGAGGGCCTCTGTCTCTTTGTTCCTGTAACGTCGAGCGTGACCACACAAAGACAAACATCCCCCGTATAGCCTTAGCAGACTGTTGGGGCAAGCGCTGTTAGCGAGCACCTATGAAGGCCGCACCTCTGATTATCATGGTTGGCTACGTACAGGGCGAAAGAAGTTCTACATACATAAAAGCCCGACACGGTACACGAGGGGGTGGGTCGCCAACACCATGCCTGGCCGCATTTGTCTTACAAGTGGTGATGATTTCCACATAGCATCAGACACTCATTTGAGGCTGAGTCAGCCTAGGAGAGACCCAGGACTGATTCACAGTACTGTGTGATCATACGTAGTGGTGTGTAGTTGTACGTGGTGTTGGATGATTGTAGTGTTGTGTGGTTGTATGTAGTGGTGTGGGATTGTATTTTGTGGTGTGTGGTCCTATGGTGGTGTGTGGTTGCACTGGTGTTGGTCGTGAGCGGGAATCGAACTTGGGATGTGAAGGATGTGATCCCTGACATGCAATACCTCGGCATCTACAAACTAAGCTGTGTCTGCGGCAGTAGTTACATTGGGGAAACTAAGCGACATGTCTCGGACCGTGTTCGTGAACATAAGGCAGATCTGAAACACGGTAGGACCAATACCACGGCCGTGGCTGATCATTGTTTTAATGCGGTGGGCTCACATGAAATTGATTTCTCTAAGATGAAGGTACTTTGCAAACCCACTGGCTATCAACAAAGATTCGTTCATGAAGCCATCTATAAAACAAGACGCAGACACAATTCCAACCGAGAAGATGGGTACAAATTGAGCAATCATTGGAAGGACATTATCAACCAGTTTAAGTTATAACTGGCGATGTTACATGCTAATTTATCACATTAACATCACTAGCCCCGGCCACTTCTTTATAACCCTTGAGCTACACCCATTTCAAACCTTTTAAAACAGTCTGCCTCAGAAGCAGACCATGCTTTCCCACCTGATGACGGACGCTTGTGTTGCGTCCGAAACGTCGTGATTTATTTTATTTTATACCTACGTGACAAAAGAACCAAAGAGCATGGCTATGATGTTCCGATCCTAGCACTTTCTGATGTTAGTTGTTCATTAACAGGTGCACACTAACACAGCTACTTCGCGCGCCACTTTAGAGGTTGTTGCTCTGCAATCTCCCATTAACATGTTAATCTCTCCCATTAACATGTTAATCTCTCACATTAACATGTTAATCTCTCACATGAACATAGCCACCTCAGCACACGCGCCATGGAGGCTGCTCACCGATTTTACATTAACATGCTAATTTTCACCTGGCAGCCCTTTGATTGGTGGAAAACCAACCACGGTCGTGGTTGCTGCCAACCACTTACATTAACATTAGCTGCTGACATTTGGGTTACACCCATTTCAAACCTTTATAAACAGTTTACCTTTAGAAGCTAACCCCCTTTTCCTGATGATGACTGCTCATGTTGCGATCGAAACGTCGTAGTTTTTTGTTATTTTCTTTTAACCTATCTACGTGACTTCACCGAAAGACCCAAAGAATATCAAACCTCGTCAATATTTGAACAGGTCTTGGGCCTTTCAAGGTCAAGTCAACCTGAAACAAGTACCTGGTGAAGTGTAAACAATGGCCACACCACTTACTTGTGCATCGTTCCAGCCTCAGTAGGTGCAAACTAATTTAACTTGTCCCAGCAGTCTATGTAAGCTATATGGGGGATATTTGTCGGTGCTTTGTGCAGAAGTTTGCATATTTTCTTGCGTGAATTCAGCTCCTATCCGAGTGGCCACGTTCTCATTCTCGACCATGATGCAGAACATGAGTGGCATGTGTTATGCGATCCCGTCCTGGACCTCCCCTGGGTCAACTCAGCCTTAAACGAGTACTCGGTACTGTATGCAAGCATCTGAACTCACAGTCGCTGGTTCGTGCTGGCGATGTTCTGGCGTGCTTCCTCCAGGGACTGCTCCATGTCCTGGGAGTTCTGGATCAGGGAGAGGTTCTGCTCCTCCAACTCCGTGAACAGGTCCAGCAGCTCCTGGGGGCTGCTGAGCGGCAGCTCAAACTCCTGGGTGAGCAACGGCATCCACATTTAGATATATTTTTCACCACCAGGTAAGGCCCCTCTGAGCTATTTAGTTATTTTTCATAAAGCGACCTGGCCACTAATGATAGCACAATGAAGTGGCTTATCACGTGGACATTTCTAGCAGCCAAATGCTTTAAAACACGCTTCTAAATGTGGAGCGAAAAACCGGAGGACCTGGAGAAAAATCCACACGACCACGGGCAGAACATGCAATCTCCAAATATACAGCAGGTGTCAGGGTCGGGATCGAACCCACAACCTCCTGTATACCAGGCAAGGGAGTTAACATCTCGCCAGGCCGCAAAATGGCCCGGCGAGCGGAGGAGCAATCCAGCTCATGACGATTCTCCAAGACTGAATTGGACGATAAAGGTAAATGAGCAGCCCTGAAATTGCCTACTCATGCCACTGCTGGTGGCAGGGCCTCCACTAGAGGGACATTTAGATAGCCCCTTCTAAAGGGTATTTGGCCTACTCTTCAACCACACAATACCTGTGGTGTAGCCATTTATAATGGTGGGAGGACAGAGGTGTGGGGTGTTTTCAACAGCTGCACCGCAAGAGTGAACCGGTAACCTCAAGAAAAGTAAATTGCTCACCATTACACCGTGCCAGCATCCATGATTAGTATGGAAGTGAAACAATGGCACGTGCATTCAGGGGAGGCTAAACTGGGGCATATGGAGAGATGACAGCCCTACGCACTTTTACATAGCAACACCCAATCACGAGCCCCTTCCACACAATGACGGGGTTGGCAGTTTCTGATTCGCTCATAGGCCCTGCCCACTCCTCTGATAGCCCCGCCCACTGCACATGTAGCCCCACTCACTCCCTGCCCACTCGTCAGGAAGTCCCGCCTACTACTCAGGTAGCACCGCCCACTACCTGGGTAGCCCTTCCCACTAACTCAAGTAGCCCCACCCACTACTCAGAGAGCCCGACCCACTCCACAGGTAAACCTGCCCACTACTCCGGTAGCCCCATTCACTGCTCAGGTAGCGCCATCCACCACTCAGGTAGCTCCACCGTTTGCCTGTATCATGAGTCGAGCATGAGGCCAGAACATTTCAGGCCAGAACATTTCAGGAAAATACTTTTAACACCAGGACTGTTCTGGCCAAACCGGAACACTCAGTACCTTTAACCTGCAGAGAACTAATCGGTGATCAGTTTAGTGGACTAATAAATAAACGAACCATTTAACTTGTCGGATATCTATTCAGTGATCTGTTCAGTGAACGACTGAGTGAAATGATCAGTGTGAGTGGTGATCTAACCATTGACTTTGCAAGTGATGCAGACGCCTCACTCACCCCCTCACTGTCGTCAGAGTTGTCCTGGGATGCGTTGGAGCTGCCTCCGTCTCCTTTGCTGTTCTCTGGCTCTGCAGGAATTGCACGCACAATCACCCCCGTGATGCAATCACCAGCGATCATACACACACATCATTGTAGTGCACCCACAATGGTAAATGTTGAATTGGCCATAGTGGTGCACCATCACCACTGCGATTTAGAGCAGGTGGCCAGGAGTTGGCACGACAGAAGTTGGGTTTGTGAACCCCCGTCTGGTGGTGGCGGGTAGGTTGGCCGCCTGAGAGCTGTGCCTCTCTCCTGACCTCCACTTGGGTGGACGTGGCTGTATATTGGTGATGTTGCTGCTGTCCGACACAAACCTTCCCCAAGTATCCCCTCTGCCTCTTTGTTTTACGGGCTTTTACACCACCTAATTTGTTTTCATTGCTCCCCATAGCTTGACTGAACTGACACACACTTCCCCCTGACCCTTGCCTGACCATTCCTCTGCGTTCTTGCTCCCCATGCCTCCTTTCTTGGTTTGTCGCCGGGGCTGCCCTGGAATGGAATGTGTCAGTGCTACCTTGGCTGTCTCTGAGAATGATTGGTGAATCACCCCGGACCCCACCTCCCTGAGGATGTGAATGTTGTTGCTTCAACACACCGGTGGGCTAAAGCAGTGAACTATTTGTCTTTGTCAACGTGACACATTTTTTACTGATTGGCCGTGTCGGGTGGTGGAGGGTTACGACACATTTATAAATAAACGCGATCTAAACCCAAAAATCGTTGATTATATTGAAATGTGGTTGTATTTAGATGCTATATAATTGAAATTAGGGCTGTTGTTATTGTCTGTGCAAACTCTTCAGCATTATCCCCACAAACATTCTGGATTTTAAACTGGAACTCCGATTTCCTCCCACGTGAATCCCAACTCTCTTAAAAACGAAATTGGCAAAACATTACAATGTAGCACAACCCTCCAGCAGAACAATCTTTAGAATCCGCTGGGCTTTCCTGCGAACACGAATGCTGAAATAGTGAGAGGCACACACGTGCAGGTCATAGAACAGGGGGGCTTAGCGTGAGAGCTCAGGATGGGCGGCAGTCCTATTTGCCGTGTCTCACTGCATGGGGAGGTTCCCTCCGTTTCCACTGCTCCCTCCCCGGGTGCTGCGATCGCTCGTGCCGCCCGCTTGCGCTCGCGCCGCCGCTGGTGCCACTCCGGTGGCGCCAGCCCCTCCAGGAAGCGCTTATACAATCGGTACTCCTGCAGCAGATCCTCCTGCCGTGCGATCTCACTGAACAATGCAGCACGAAGCGCGAATCAGCCACGCGCCCGCACAGGAGCACACACACCTCAGCCATCGCTCTCTGCAAAGAGGCACCTGCAGTGATATAAGTGACTGAGTTTGTTCAAATTAGAAACAGTACTGGCAATTTGGAAATATTCCCCTCCAGTACCCAATTTGTGTGGCTCTGATGCTGGCAGTGATGAATTATTATCATTGCAGGCCATATCTAAGTGATAGTCTCGAAGCGATAGGTAATGGCCTAATATTCTCACCGAGTAATTTTGATGCCGCTGGTTGGTTGGAGTAGGTGGCACGTGATGAGCAGCCAGCCATGACGAGAGGTATACTTGATGTAGTGTGCCATGTGCGGAAATATTTTCCGATTTCACTGACACGGAGACACCCGGCTGAAATTAAGCTCTTGGTAAGACTCAAGAGACCATGGGCCACGTAACAAAAACGAAGTTGTGGGCTGTGTGAAATGAAGCCACAGGCCATATGAAATGATGGTGCGGGCCGTGTTAAATGAAGCCGTGGGCCATGGGAAACGAGGCCACAGAGCCGTACGTTGCCCACCCCTGGCCGAATATGATGTCGCTGCCAAGCGGCCTGCAGAGCGGAACACAGGCCTCACCTCTTGGCGGACACGATCTGGGCCGTCAGCTTCTTAATCTCAGCCACCTGCTCCATCCGCGCCTTCATCTCCATCTCCGCTCTGGAGCACGGCGCGCCAACGAGCACGCACACAAACCACGTGGCACATCAGCCACCCCGACGTGGGACTTGTTGAGTCACGCTGGGCAATGCTGCAGGTGAGTCTAGCAGGTAACGTGGTGGAAATGTGGTATTGGTCAGGCACTGGTGTGGAGATTGTGCAATGATGGTTCTTGCGCAGTGTGGTACTGGTGAAATAATGGTGCGGTGCTGGTGTGGTAGTTGTGTGCTGATGGTGTGGTACTGGTGCAGCGTTGGTGTGATAATGGTGTGATAATACTGTGGCAATGGTGTGATGATGTTGTAGTAATCGTGTGGTGATTGTGTCTTGATTTGCATTGCAATGCTGCCATAGTATTACCATGGAAATGGTGTGGTGCCGGTGCGTTGTCGGGCCTGCGTCGGTTCTGCGCCAATGCTGCGCCGGTACGGTACCAGTATGGTGCCAGTCAGTGTCGGTGTGGTATCAGCACGGTGCCGCGTCAGTACGGTGCCGGTAAAGTCCCAGTGTGGTACCAGTACGGTGCCAGTACGGTACTGGTGCCAATGCGGTACCAGTGCGGTACCGGTGCGGTACCGGGTGCTGCGCAAGTGCAGTGCCGATGCGGTGCGAACGCTCACACCCTGATGGCCTCCACGGCGCTGCGATCGTTCTGCTTGAGGAACTCATCGAACATGGCCGCGTCGTCCTCCAGAAAGCGCTCCGCTTGCTCGAGCGCTCGCTCCTCGCGCGCTCCCTGCTGCTCCAGGGCGCGCATCTCCTCGCGCTTCACGCTCAGGCCGTACTGTGCATGGCACGCACAGCATGCGCAGGACGATTCAGCGAGATTTATTAATTAAAATCGATTTTCGCATTCAGGGTACAGACATTGAATCGTGTATTTACTGGAGGAATCCGATGAGCTATAAAGCTCTTTTGCGTAGGATTTCAATGCATGTGTGCACATACGTACATCTTGTTGGGTTCAGGAATAGTCGGAATAGTACCAGAAAACGGGCCGGAGCGAGACAGTCTCGTTTGTGTGTGTGAGCGAGAAGTCTAGCAGCGGCACGTTGGCCATTGAACCCCGTTACCTGCACAAGGAACATCTCTCGCTTGCGGGAGACAAATTCAGAGAGCCCCTCTTTCTCCACCTGGCGGTCTGTACGAACACACACGATTACACCAGTCACAACACAATCCCAACTCACAAAGTTAACTTACAACACAAAGATCCCCATATAACCTTTAATAGACTGATGGGGCAAGTGCCATAAGTACTAACTATCACCACGCCTGGCTGCCTTAGTCTCCCCAATGCTGATGTTCACTCACTGCACCATGTGCTCATTTAAGGCTGGGTCGACCTAGAGGAGACCCAAGACTGGTTCGGATATCGCTCGCCGGCTCATGACAGCCATGGCTGGGATGTGAACTCAGTTTGCTGGGTCCGTAGTGCAGTGCGCTAACCCCTTCGCCACCTCTACCCACATACACACATGCTGCCAGCGATAACATGGGAGGTTGCTGCGACACACAGAGTGTGACCTTGCTGTCCCCAGGTCACACTGCATGTTGTCAAAACACACGAGGCGTGACTTGTGTTGTATATGTTGGTTATCAAAATTTGTTATGTTGTATGCGTGCGTGGGTGAAATTATTATGTTGTATATGTGGGTTATGAATATTCAGTGAAAATAATAATAATTAAATGAAATTTGGCCAAATGTGTAATTATCCGGAAATATGTTAATTTATGTAATTATGCACATTTTAATTATGCCAATTCGAGAGGTAATCGTATTAATTATGCGAGTGGGTGTAATTATGATAATGCAAGTCGTTATGATAACCAGACCCCGCCTCGGTGATGAGGGTGGGTTATCGATCGGAATAAGGCAATTAATCGTATGCAGTTATGCAGGTGTGGTGTAAGTATGCAAGATTAACTTAGATTAACTCGGCATCGTTGTCTAGGTTCGTCTCATTCTCGCTTTAACATTCCCAGAGTGTGTATTCGTGGTTATATTTTAGGTCCCCGGTTCACCCCGTTATCGCTTTAACATTTACTGAGTATGTATTAGTGTGTTTATTAAGGTCACCAAGTTCAGATCTCAACGCAGAAGCAGATCTTATGCATAGATTTCAGGAAAGAATCACACAACCACTTCTGTATTGATCAATTTATTACTAATTCAACCTTAACTATGATATAGTATGCGAACTCTCAATCCCGGAACGTCAACACGGCATCAATACAGTATCATCAACGATTGTCTGATTTCACCTTGACAACGGCACATGGATCCCGCATAACGCGATGGTTGTTAGTGAGAGAGAGAGTCGTTAAAATATGCAAATACTATGCTAAGAAAACCTTAACGTTAATGAATGATTATACTCAATATTGTTCACGCAGTACCGCACTCCTTATTGATCATACGCAACCCTTATCACGTTGTTAGCACCTTGGGTCACGGGACAGTTGAATATTCTGTAGAGGATGCGAGTACGTGCGGCGATTATGACTGATACTTGAAAGATTATACGGCGATAAAAAAAACACAATCAAAAACAGTTATTATTCTTAAAGGCACCAATCTCAACAGATACATCGGCAGGTTATCTGACAACAGAACGGCTCGGAGTAAGGGCCTGCGACGGTGCTCCTTTTCCGAAGATCGTTATCTTATACCAAGTTTACTAATTGGGGACCAGATCACCTGATAAGGATCCGGTGGGCCACCACTCCCCACGTGAGCGTGGCTCGGCGGAAGGAGGTGCCAAGAATCAGTTCGTATTGATGGATCTGTTGGGAATTTATGCGATTAAGAGTACAGCCCACTAAATATTAAAGATAAAAATTACGAATACTTTTATAAACGACGGATGGCCATCACTCGGTCTCGTTGTGATGCCTTCCCAGCCACAGATGGCTTATGGGTTCGAGTGTGTTTGAGTGGTAAGAGTTGTCTTGAATAGTCAGTGTTCGGAGTCGATTCTTTATGTCAAACAGACGCCTGGTGGTCGTGTGGTGAGGGGGCGGTGCGCGTCATACGTATCAGTCGCTCCCCTGTCACCGTGGTGAACTGGTTCGGATGCCCGTTGATACGCTGTCGCAGTTCGGAACCCGGTCGGTAGGTGGCGCCCACAACTCGCTCGCAGCGTGCAGTGTTGTCGTCGACCAGGGTGTGCACGGAGCCTCGTCGCCAAACCGCGACCCTCACCACTCCGGCGGCAGCAGAGACCTCCGACTCGGCAAACGTTGACCCACGCAGGCCGAGTTGAGCTGTCAAGCGGGTCTTGCCCGCCTGCAGAGGAGATGGGGAGCCGCTTGAGTCGAGCCCCGAGAGCCGGCTTTGGTAAGCCGATCGAACTCGGCTGAGTCCCAGACGAGCTGAAGATGAGTCGAGCCGACCCGCTGGTCGCAGCTCGCTCCTGAGCCGACCCTCCCGGTCGAGCTCGCTCCTGGGTCGACCCGCTGGTCGCCCTCGCTCCTGAGTCGACCCGCTGGTCGCACTCGCTCCTGAGTCGACCCGCTGGTCGCACTCGCTCCTGAGTCGACCCGCTGGTCGCACTCCCCACGTGAGCCGACCCGCTGGTCGCACTAGTTTCCAATGCTCAGGAACCTTTCCTTTATGCCGAAAAATCCCCCTGGATCCCGCCCACAAGGCGGGGCTTCTTTCGATTTTTGCTGTGTCAGGATCTGTCCGTAGGCAGGTGTGTCCATGTGTGTGTCCGTACGTCCGTATGTCCTTGTGTGCATCACTCACGGTATATTCCGTTGTCACACTCCCTCCATAAAACCCACGAGCAAACAATCAGATGTTACAAATTGCCTCGAAGTCGTCTCTCTGTCTGGGTGCAATATTATCTCTTGTCTGGCCTTCTTCATGAACCCAAAACACAGACGTTACAAATCGTCTCATAGGCGTCTTTGTTCGTGTTGCACAACCTGGAGGGAGGGGCAACACTCTCTCCGACCCGGCGCACAAAGAAATGGTTAAAAAGTTTTAAGTTAACATTTGTCCCTTACTATTTCACAGTTATGATTCTGTATGTAACCCAAGGTCTGTCGTTTCCCATCGTGGTGCTTGACTCAAGTGGAGGTGTTTCCCCGAGCGTATACACACTCCTATCCCGCGCTGCGGGGATACAAAGACGGCCGGGATCTCCCTTTCTCTCCGACCCTGGGTTTAACATCGTTTTTTTTTTATTATGTATTTATATTCGACCTGGTGGTGATTCATCCCGTTATCCTGGCTTTTCCATAAGTTTTACTTTTGTCTTTTCATGCATATGCTTATTACTATTAATTTATTTCCGATATCTTAGGTTAAGGGGTAAGTTTCTTGATCCTAGGAATTCGTATTCCTTGGTGTCTGCATGGTTATATAAGCGGAATATAGTTTACGGTGAATAGCGTTAACATTGATGTTATGTACGATATTATGTATTGTGATGTCTTTAACTTAACTTGTTTGTCAGGGCTTTACTGACGCGAAGTTGCATTCCATAGCCCCGCAGTCTTTGCCCCACCTTATCTCTGCTCGCCGTGGTTGTTGCTGTCCAGCTGACGCCGTTAACTCAAGGCCTCATTAATTTCCGTCACTCCTTGTATGTGAGGGCGGTTGAACCTTGGAGTCAGTTCTGGTTTTTGTCTGCCTGCTTCTTCTTGTGTCCCCTGACCCCGGGAGTTATTATTTCTACTTTTATGGCCTGTCGAAGCCCGACTCGCTGTTGCTGGGCTGGTGTCGTTCCCGGCTTTTTGCTTACGTTTGCAGTTCGCCGTGCTCTTAATTTCCTTCCCTCCCTCTTCAACCTTATATCGACTATTCGCTCCTGTCTGGGTGCGATTCAATTCTGACTTAGGAAGGTTCTGATTGTCATATGCTTCGGGTCGAGTTGTATAGAAAGTATTAAAGTATGGAAATAACATTTCATATTGACTTAATGATGGTGATGGTTCAGTAGGCGTAACCTGTGGCCTGGTTTAATTGGAGTGGGTGTGAATATCAATAACTTTAGCCTACCCTGTTGTTAAATTCCGACTTTAACGTTACTTTAATAGCAATACAGAATAATTGAGCTTTTTGTCTTAACTAGGCGAACGCGAACTTCTGGTGACCCCCGCAGCCTTGTTGTTCAGCTGGGTCTGCCTCCTTGAGAGATATACACCACTCTTATTCTCGTCTCACTGTGGCCATCCAACCTTCTGCTCTGGGAGTGTTATTCTTAATTTCAGGTCAAAGGCCCCCTCACGTTCAGACGTGCAGGGTTGTTTAAATCAGCTCCCTCCCCTGTGCACGTGTTCCAACTAGCTCGGAATCCCTAAACACACAATCAGTGATGATTCCTGGCTTTCTGTGGTTGTGATTTAGACAAAGGCGCCTCTGCTTTCTTCCATTGCCTTTGAGTCGACACTGCCCTATTATTTGCCCATGTGCTGAGGTCATAGAATTCGTTTTGACTTCAGTAATATTAACATTCAGTATTGGATTAGCAAATGGGCAATGGTTCATTGATGTAGCTCGCAGCCTGGTCTCCAATTTGAGCGAGCGCGAGGATCGATACTTTAGCCTACTCTGTTGTTGAATTTCGAATTTTGACGTTACTTTAAAACCATGCAGGATGGTTGGGCTTTTTGCCTTAACTATGTCTGGCTGACACTCCCACTGTCTCTGCCGCCTGCACGGGTGACATGTGCCCGTTCATCAGGCCTTATCTTTCCTTGAAGCAAGGTTGCAAATTCTGCCATCCTAGCCCTCCTCCAGTTCATTACTTAACAACACCTGGTGTTTTGCAGTTTGCTGCGCTTTGGTGTGTTTCATTCATTAAAAAAACAAGTAAAAAGAGAATATATAAAAATATCATCAAATATTATTAATCTCAATTTTGGAAGAAGGGTTAGTATACAACATTCCGCCCTTTTAAAAATGACCAGTGGTCAAATGGCCACGGGTTATTTTTAAAAAAAAATATGTATACCCTTCTTCCATCATGAACCATCGATTGTCCTCAAGTTTTGCTGCTATTCCTTACAACGCGTGCGTACGTGTCACAACTTAACATGGTTATATGTGACAAGAGAGAGGATAAAAGAAAAAGGAAGAAAAAAAAATTCTAAAGGAAGGTAAAACGATAAGGGAGGGAATAATTATT